TGTAGTTAGAAACATAGTTCCTGGTTGTGTTCTATTCCCAGTTATCCCTCCTATGCCCTATTGCTTTCAAACATCCCAACATTTAAACTTGGAATGATTAAAAATAAAAAAAAGCTTTAAAGTCATCTCTCTTAGGTGTAATTTTCTTTCAACGTATTTTTACAGTTCAGTTGTAATGATTTTCATGTTTACAATTACAATTAATTATGTCAACTTTGAACACATTGATGTCATTTCAAACACAGGCGTGGCTCTTGACGAAAGCTATAGGTGACCTATTATTTAAAAGTGGAATTTGTTACATCTCCAAAGTTTATGAAAAAAAAAAAAAACATAGCACAGGTTAATGTTTTTAATTTATAATAGGTTATTTATTAAGTATTTGTATATGACATGGGCCTTTTAGTTAGAACATTTCTGCAGTGGCTTGCAAGTGTCAAATTGTAAAAGTAGACTTTTTAAAAAAATAAATAAACAAGATTCTACCTTATAATCTTCATCATCATCATCATCATCATCATCATTATAATTATTATTATTATTAAAGTAGGATTTTTCCTTATGATATATGATATTAGAATATGTGTTAGCTTTTGTAAGTGATTTTATGCTAACTTAGAATAGACTATGGAATATTCTCAATAATAATTGTAAAGGAAACATTGGCTCTATTTGTGCCGTTTACATATGTTTCAATTAATCTAAAAAACGAGTGCATGTTTTTACCAAAACTAATATTGGATTTTTAAAAAATGCGTGTGCATGTAAAACAATATATATTGCACAGAAATGTTTGGGTTCTTCTCTAAAGAAGTTGTTACCACTCTGTTTAGAGCATCATTATGGGCATTTTACGTTATAACTAACCTGGTTCAAACGATGGATCTGCGACAGAGAAACTACAGGTTTTAGGAAACACTTGTCACTACATCGTTCTTTTCCCAAACGATGCATCGTACTATGATAGTTCAGCCGCGAGTTACGTCGTTGTTTAGGAAATGCACCTCAGGTTAGGTTCACAGAGTAAGTTACCTCTTTTTCAGAAACAGGCTTGACTAACCCTGCTCTCTCAAGTTTGACAAACCCGCCATTTTAAAATGGAAAATCTAGTTTCTTTCATTTCAGGGCTAACAGCAGGGCTAACTGCAGTTTTCACTTAACCTCCATTCTGAAACAGGACCCAGTTTCTATTCACCTTATTCTCAGCTGTCGAGCGGGCGCTGACATTTGAATCTTTTTGTCTCGCGACTTCCGGTCACATTCACTTCCATTCATTTTTTGACGTTAACAACTGCTCGTTACGGTGCTTGATGTTGCAATTTAAAATTTTCTTATTATATTATGCTACTTGGTCTGTGTAGTCATGCAAACATTTGTTTGTTGAGCAAGTAGTTTGGCCATTTTCTGCCGTTTATTATTCCTAGTCTTTTCTCCCATAGGCGACTGAATCGGAAGTTCTAAGACAATCGCGAAAACAGGCGCACTTCCGCATTTCAGAATAAGGTCAATAGGTATAAAATAAACCTTTTGAGCAGTACAACATCAACAACTTTTGTTCCTTTTCACACTAGTGATATTAACAGAGGCATAATATCAATGTATAAAGCATTATTACACCTTTTTATTATTACTAACACCTAAATACCACAAAACAAATTAACATTGTTAATGATTTGGAATCAAATATGTTTGCCCTGCATATATATTTGCATAGAGACATATCTTCTAGTGCAGTCAGTTTGCTGTTGTTCTTTTGATGCAAAGCAATGGGGTTCCACAAAAGAGATAAAAGTTAAAACTACATGGGCACAGTGCGTGTTTGGTTGCTTCTGAAAACACTATTGATTGCTTTTAGGTCAGTGATTATGTAATTGTTTAACTAAACCCAAAGGCCCAGTTTCACAAACAGGCCTTAGATTAAGCCAGGACTAGGCCTTAGTTAAATAAGCCTATTTAAGACACATTTATATAAATGGCTTTACAAAAATATTACTGGTGTGCACCTGGAGACAAAAAATCCTCTCACATCATCTGTGGATGATGATCTGTGGAATCATCAATTTAGAGATTCATAACAAAAGCCGTGAATACTTATGTATATGTGATTTTTTTAGGTCTTTTTATTTTTAATAAATTTTGCAACTTAAAAAAAAACTTTTTTTGTGTGTGTAGAATTTTGAGGAATTACAAGAATTTAATCCATTTTGGAATAAGGCTGTAACATAAAATATGTGGAAAAAGTAAAGTGCTATGAATACTTTTGTGAAAGCACTGTAGATGCAATGTAACTTAAATTTACCAAACGGACCATCAAAATAAAGTGTGACCTAATTTTTCTAACAGTGATGCAAATGCAATTAAAATCTGCACTCAACCTACCTTCAAACAAACATATGGTATGACTCAATTAAAAATATAGCATAACATTTGGAAAACTTAGAATTCTAGAATAATTAAGGCAACAGCTATTTTTAGTTCATTGTAGTAAAAATGACGAAAGGTTTCCTTATAACAGTGGCAAGGAATGATCTTTCACAACCTTCATGATGGTCTTTATTAAATTAATGGCTTCTACTTAGGCTGACAGAAGAATACTTCAACATTTAAAATTAGATTAAATGCTTTATACTCAGATGATATGGCAATTAATTCATCTTAATCTGTGATATATTGGAATGAAGGGAATAGATTAGCATGACAGAACATTGATCCATTTACTGCGCAAAGGTTTGATTAATGACATCGTCATGCATTTTAAAGGCCGGTTTTTTTTTAAGGCTTTATTCAAGGTTTTTGCCTTAAGCATAAAATTCTGACAAAGTTCTGTTTACTGATGCAAGCATTCAATTATGCGAGATAATGTTGGGAGAAACAATAGATAATGAGTTTTCAGACAAACATGATGGGTAGAAAATGAAGAAACAGATGCCGTGCTGTAGATTCAAGGCACGTTCTGTGTACAGTAAATTCCTACGGTAAAGCCAGATGGTTATGATGAGGAGTGTCCTGGTAAACGTTAATCCAACATTTCTGCCAATGTCAAAGAATAAAAAAAATTCTACCACCTTTCTAAATTTGCACGCATTGGCATATTTCAATTTTGATAAGCTTAAATAGGAGACAGACTATACTTTAAATCATTTCTCCAAAAAAAGCAATGGTTTACGGTTCCAGTTTAAAGTTCTACAATAACTAGAACAGCATATTATATAATCAACCATATTAACCTGATTTAATTCAGACTTATGCAATAAATTAAAACAAAACAAATAAGCTTACCCAAACAAATTATTAAATTAGTATGTGTAGTATTATAATAAGCAACTTAAAATGTATGATTTATTCATGCAATCATATTTCCATTGAAGTATGTTCCTAAAATTGCCAACTCTTTTTCCAAACGCAGAATATTGTGTTTAAATTAATAAACAGAATAAATAGATGTTATGTGTTTGTGGTTGATATTTCCAAGTCACAGCATAACTACTGTAAGAATCATATGCTGTGATTTGAGCTCCCTCTAGTGGAGAAGCGAAAACGTGGTGGTAATGGTTTTTAGCGAAGACTATGCAGATGTTACCTCTTTTTAGTTAACATCTGCAGACAGAGGAATCTAGGCCTGGCGGTCACATGATAGGTTATTTATCACAATGTAACTTTTTAGCTGCAATTTTTATATGCCACTTATATCTTTTAAAAAATTCTAGATTTTACCAAATCATTTTCGTTGACCAATGTTATGAAGAAAGCTCTTTTAACTAAGGCTTTTTCATAAAAGTTGGGGTAAGTGATATGTTGGGCCAGACGGAATCTGAGGACATTTTTTTGCTGTTTCTGCACAGAATTTAGTTAAAAATCTTTGGATTTATGTGGAATGATTTTGGGAGTATCACAACTAAAAACTGAATCTATGAACTAAAAAGTAATACCTTTTTAACTTGTATTTAATGTTTATAATGCAATTCCAATTCGTTTCACTTTTTTGGTAAACAAATCATGTCTTCTAAATAATATATCTACTAAAAGACAGAAAATATGATTTTACAAACTGTAATGTGAATAAATTATATAAACATTTTCATATGTCAATAATTATACTGAAATTAATTAAAAAAACTGGATAAATATACAATTACACACACTTACACAAATAAATAAACAATCAATGATGGGCTAAAAATCTGCGGAATTCTGCACACGCAGATTCTGTGTGGGCATAGTGATTTGTAATTTTTTTAATGTTATGCATTTTATTTGCAATATTTGTATATAAAAGAAAAGCTTGATTGATTAAAAATAAATAAAAGGTGCTTCATGGGTAATTAATGTGTCTTTGCTCTTTGAATAAGGGATCCTTAAAGGTAACCACACAAAGTTTAAGGCACTCTAAAAATAACTGAAAAATTTAATCTCTTATCGAGTTTCAATTATTTTAAAAAGGCTCACTCATGTGCATAGATTGATTTGGTTGCTTTTCTTTGGTGATTAGATTTTGTTCAGAATAGGCCGTTTAATGATCATAATGGTCATTGTGTGTTTGATTAATTAATTATATTACATGGCTTACAAATACTGGAAATTTGTAGCCAAGACATAATGACATATTCACTGAATTACTGGAGTAAAATGACTAGAAAAAGTTTTTATTTTTCTAAAATTGCTAAAATGGAAAAATGGTTCCTTGAGAGAGACAAAAAAAAAGTGTTTTCTATGGCATCAGTGTGGAACTCCCATTTGGTTCTTCCTTTATTTTTTACAGTCTATGTTGTGTAAAAGACAATGTGACTCATCCCAGCACACAATGTCATAAGACATTAAGTTAGATTTAGGTTGTGATATCAGGTCAGGTTTCCAAAATTCTATGTCCAGCCAGCGTCTAAGGACAATGTAACTTTTATGACCAATAATGTTGTCAAATGACTTTGATATTTGGCTGATTTTAGGTTGTGTTGGAAAGTGACCAAAATCAAGCAACAAGCCAACATCTTAAACCAACATCATATTGACATCAAATACTGACATTTATTCGTGAGATATGGCAACCAAAATACCATGTTTGCTAGACATAATAGCGGTAACGTTTACACAAGCTATAACATCATTAGACGTTGATATTGGGTTGACTTTAGGTTGATTTTGGACATTGACATTGCCTGGCATTGGGTTCTGACCCAATTTTTATTTCCAAACAAAATGTAACGTCCCACAACGTTGGGGTATTGACGTCATGATGACGTACTGTGCCTGCTGGGATTGGACCACACTTCAAAAACGCTGGGTTGTTTTAACACAACACTGGGTCAATGGACAAACCCAATAGTGGGATTAAAAAAATGTAATTTAAAATTTATTTATAAACATTAACACTGTTCATTCATTCATTTTCTTTTCGACTTAGTTCCTTTATTAATCAGGAGTCGCCACAGTGGAATGAACCGCCTTTAACACTTGGTTATCTCCATATTTAATCCAATATTGCAATAAAACAACCCAGCAATTTTCATAATGTAGACAACCCAAGTCCAGTGCTTGTGTGTGCTCAATATCTTGCCACTAGATTATAGTTTGTCCCTCCTCTGACCATTGTTGCAAGTTTATTACCACTACCACAAGACTTCATTCCAGTTCATATCTCTTGCATCCAGCATACTGATTCTGAATGACCCTAAAATCTGGCCTCATTTGGATATCATCAGCAATATTTACTTTACTCTTGGCTGGTTGCAACGTTTTGACTCATCAGTGAAGGAATATACAGTAGTTAATCTCCCAGCAATTTATGACTAATTGAACATGTTGGCACTAGTCCAGAGTTCATTTGTCAATAGTGATTTGTTTGAAAAGCATATGGTTTTGATCCATGTTATATAATCATGAATCAGTCAGTGACACACTGTTCTTCTGATTCCCCATATTTGAAAGTACAAAGGATACCCCAGTGATCACTGATGAAATAGTCACACTTCAGCTTCTCCAGGCCAATCAGCGTCATGCTTTCTGGCCGTAGCTGTGCACCATTTGCAGCTCCTTTAAGGAAAAGTCGATCAAATCGCAGGCGTATAGGATTTGGGATATCATTGTTATCATTGATGGATGTGTCCCAAGTGTATCTGCTTTCCTCTGGTTGTCCCAGCATCTCCCACACATCAGAGATACCATCCGGCAACCCCCCAAGCTTCTTTACCTGTCATCAAATACATAAAGACAAAACCACATGCCAGATATTATTATTAAGAACATTTATATAATAAGACACATGGGTTATCATTGGGAACATGTTATCATCATACACAACCTCCCAATCTCTAAGGTTGGTATCTCCTCCAAATATAACGGTGTGGTCCTCTGGGGTCTCCTTCATCCATTTCCAAACCCTCCACAGCTGATTTAAGCGTTCTTGAGAGCCTGTCTTACAGCTCTCCAGATGAGATGTCATAATGCACAGAGGATGGCCTGAAAAGCTCACCTAAACAAACATGCAGATGTATTGCAGAAATGGGAAGCTTAAGTTTTTGAATGATGTATAACTAAGACTAAGGCTCTTACGTTTGCTATTAGCAGGTTCCTTCCCTGCTCTGTGGTGGGATACTTCACAATGTTGCTTTGAATGCACTGCACTCTCTCCTTTCTGAGCAAAATCCCACAGAAGTAGCCATCTTCACTGCCTGAAACCAGAAACGGTTCTCAAACTAGAAATGATATTTGTTTATTGGGTTTGTATGCGATCTTTGACATACCTTCCAGAAATTGATCATCTTTAATAACATTCTTTAAAATCTTCACACAAGGAGGTACCAGCTCTTGCAGTAGCACAACATCTGCACGGTACCTGCATTAAAATAACAATTTAGTAGTTCATTAATTCGAGACTTAGATTATCTTTATATACATTGAGACGTTCAAATCAATGTTATTACTGTTAAAATATTTCAGCATTTTCTATGCAAAGTCATCTGTTTCTTAGTTCAAAGCATTGATTTATTTATTTGTACATCTCTATTAGTGCATAAAAAATAGTATGAGTTTTGTCATATATACGGATAGTCCAACCCCAATGACAGAGAGGATATATTTAAATGTATACAGGGTTCATACAAATTTTTCCTACTAATATTCCATGACTTTTCCAGAACTATCAAGTACATTTTCATTAAGTAATGTTTCATGTAATGTCTACATAAACATGATACATATTAAGAAGAACAAAGCTGTTTAAATGTATTACAGAATATCATAGAACATGCAACAATCAATTTTGTTTAAATTTGTTTTTATGTTGATTTTGATAATGCTTACACAGCACTCACAATGTGAGAGCAAGTTTTTGTCCAAGGACAGAAAAGAAGTAAAGGGAACTAACCTATATTCAAGTTAGGGCTGCATAATATATCATTTCAACATCAACATTACAATGTGTGCATCCGCAATAGTCACATCGCAGCATATGCAATGTTGGGATTATAGTTTAATATAGAGTTTAATCATAACGGAGTAAAAGTTTAGCGTCTGCATGCAATTTTAAAGAGATGGTTCATCCAAAAATTTACATTTTCATTACACCCTTCACTTTGTTTTAAACATTTATGAGTTATCTATTTTTTTTAATGAACACAAAAAGAATATAATTTAATAACTCCTATAGTATTGAAACAAGTGTGAGTAAATAGGGAGTACATTTTAATTTTTGAATGAACTGTCCCTTTAAGGCCTGACTATGTGAACATTTCTATATTTCAAATTTTTAAATCATCCGACCACAAGAAATGTTTTGTAACTTTAATAAAGATTAAATAATATACAACGAAGACTATGCAGTGTTGATTATTTAATATCTGTACCTGAATAGTGAATACCTGAAAACTAAAATTCACTTTTATCTTTAATATATTTTATTTTTCTATGCTTGTAATTTATTTGTTATATATTATTCAAGATTTACTTCTCTGCAAAATCCCCCCAATCAATCCAATTAACCCTGTTAAATCATCTGGTGAAGTTGTATTCCCATTGCAGATATACAAAACACCGTAATGCCAGATATTTCCAACATCCCGCAGCCCTAATTCAAATATACAGATATTTGCTATACTAATTTCCATGACTTTTCCAAAACTTTGTGGGGTTTTCTGTTTTTCCAAAACTTTTCCAGGCCTGGAAAATGGCAAAATTCTATGACCTTATAAATGACCGTATGTATGTATGTATAAATGACCCTTTATATATATGTGTATATAAATAAATAAATAAATAAATAAATAAATAAATAAATAAATAAATATATATATATATATATATATATATATATATATATATATATATATATATATATATATATAGTCTTAGATACAGTAAAACTATTTTTGTTTTTATCAGAAGAAACACATATACAACTGGATCAAGTTCAAGTGAACTTATGAGTAAATACTAGGGCAGGGCCAATAAACGATATTAAATCGAATTGCGATAAAATTTATGTCAATAACAGTGATAAGATCTGGACTTTTATATATTGATCTATGAGCCAATTACACAGCAGAAAGGTGCAACAATGTGAATCTAGAAGTGTGTTGATTTTAGAGATGTACCGAAAATTTTTTGGCCGAAAAAAAAAATGTTATGCCATTTAATAGACCCTCTAATTTTTGTGGCATCAGTTACTGTTGGAATAATCTGTTACATCTGGAAGTATTAACAACTTATATTGAAATATATGTTGTTATCTTTCAATATGGAAAATAATTATTGAGATTGTATTTTTGCCATATCGCCCAGCCCTAGTAAATACTATTATTTTTATGCAACCTGAGAAGTATCCCATTATTTTCCAACTGCCTAAACTCACTCTAAAGTCATCTTTTAGATATCTAAACAAGAAATCTATCCATAGTATCTATTTAATCTATCCACATTGGTGTGAAAAGTTCTGCATCCTAAAAATAAAATTACAAATAGAGAGTACTGTAACATTTACTTTCCAAGGTGTGACAACAGACCTTTGACCCGGTCACGCACATTCTCATCATCCAGACCATCTATATTCCATGATAACACTGTCAGATGATTGCTTCTTGCGCTGGCCTGGGTTTTCTGCTCATCAGCAGACTGATCAGTGAATGATTTTCCCCAGTATGCCTGGTGTAAAGAAAAACTGGACTGGATTGTCTGGGTGCACTTGGTTTCTGTTGATGTTGTATGCATACCCTGGATGGGAGGGGTTTGCGTTGACTGAGTTTGGATGGATTGACATTGGAGAGACTCTGTCTGGGTTGACTGGTCGCAGGTAGGCTTAGTTAATGGTTTTTGTGGACTTGGGATTGCAGGAGTTCTTACAGGTGAAATTGACTGACTTTTTCTTTTTTGGTTGTTCTTTTCATGTTTTGATCCTGCAGGCTTATTTTTGTGGTTTCCAGGAAGGTTCTCTGAGGCTGATGATTGCTCTTCAACAGCGACCTGAGTGTATTCACTGCCCGTTTTTACTTGGCATGAAGCGCTTTTTTTCCTTTTATTCTTTTTTTTATTCTTCACAGTTTTCTTCTCAACTTTGGTATCCACAAGACATGGATCGGTGCCATTACAACCCAAAGGAGGAGCTTCCGAGCAGGTATGACTATATCAGAATATAACAGAATGTCATGATGTCATTTGTTTTGCATACAGAACAAAAGACAAAATTATTAGACCTCATTTTTATTCTTTTCTTTATATATATATATATATATATATATATATATATATATATATATATATATATATATATATATATATATATATAAACATTTTAGAAAAAAACAGATAATACAAACGAATCTTGAAAATACTGAACATTTTACCTTTGTACACAGGATGGGTTATCCATTTGGATGATGTCAATGTATTGTTCTTTGTGTTCAGATTCTCTTCTAGGGTTTGGTTCTTCCTATGCAGTCAAGTTAAACCTGACAAAAACAAGTTCATTCACTATGTTTATGAAAAACAAAGTTAGCTCATTTGGCACAGTAATAATGATGTTCAACATGCCTGTTAACAATATAAAAATCATGTTGTGGGTTAGATAAAGTAAGCAGACACCAACCATTTTACAAGAAATAAAACCAGAACAAAATGGGTTTGTGGATAAAAAATTGTAATTACAGGAAAATTGTAATTGTATTTTTTTGCTATTTAAAGCTTAAACCGTGACATTTATAGTACTGTTGTGGTTATACAACTGGTAAACAGTTGGTTTCTATACTGTTACAGCTGTTTTAGCACAAGGTTTTTGAAGATACAAACTGATAAATACAGGATAGCTTAAACTTCCTAATGAACACTGACTACGAGAATTTCAATAACATTAATTTAAGACTTGCGGAATATACAGCAGAAAATATATCATACTTACAGACAGCTGTTCTTGTCTCCAAGCCTCAAGAGTAAACTGACGGACTCTTCTACCTTTCCATAGGCCAGCAGATAATTTAAGTTTCGATTTCTTCTAGTGCGTGACGTCAGAGGTTGGTACTCGGGTTTCCCTTCTGAGCAACTGCGGGTAGCCAATGTCAACATTTAATTGGAAATTATCCAAACACGCCTGCTGTAATTAAAAACTGCTACTGACTACGTGGTGAAACATATAAGTAAAATGTAATATCAATAATGTTAATATGATGTGGTATATATATATATATATATATATATATATATATATACACACACACACACACACACACACACACACACACACACACACACACACACACACCAAATCAGGCATGCGATGTGTGTGTTTCTGCAACATCACAGAGACCACGTCACGTGTTTCCCTCCGCCCTGCTGCTCGTCTCTGTCTTTATCTGCTGACACTCCCTCCCGCAGACAAACACACACACACCTCAGCATCTTTCCAGCTATATCAGAGCTTTCATTACAAGATCATTGCCGCAATATCAGCTCTTCACCACAGCTTTAGTTTACTCCATCAGCTTGTGTCCAGCACGAATTCGCCATGGAGTAGCAGCACGGAAGCAGATCCTCGATATCATGGAAACAGATGCTTGAATAAGAGCGTCACATCCCTCTGGTACTGTAGGCTACAGCTAAAACTATACAATAACAACAATAGCCTCGGGCTTGCCGTTTCTCTCTGTTTAGCTTCATTGTGTTATGGGATTTGCTCGTAAAAAAATTAAAATAAATAATGACAGCTGTGATTACGAATGATAATGGAGACAATATAATGTAACGTTATTTAACAAGAACATGTAACATTACCCCAGAGATATGTATACTACAGTTGTGGCTGTCTGAGGGATAAAAAAGGCTCACAAAAAGGGTCTGCCATTAATTGAATTTATAGTTGCGTTAAATTATTGTTTATTGATCGGTGTTCTGTTGTAATTTATTATACATTTTTGATGTCTTCCCAAAGGGTTTGAAGAAGTAATGTCTGTTAGAAACCATCGCTGTGAAAAGGCGGCAGTGGCATCATGAACTTCTTACCAGTTCTTTCACTTTTGATACTCTTATGTATCAGAGGCAAGTATAAAATTCTGCATTATTCATCTAAATAGGCTGATGCTGCAGGGATGTGCTTGGTATATAAAAATAATTTATATTAAAAGACAGTTATAGTCAGAATTATTAGCCCCCCTGTTTATTTTTTTCCCCCATTTTCTGTTTAATCACAAAATATTAAAAGTAATCTAAATAATTCATGCAAAATAATATTAAAATATATCCAAAATGCATTTTTAAATGAAATTAGTCATTTTAAATATGTAAACAATGTGTTACAGAAAATATGTAAAGAAATGCAAATAAGTACACAAGTATAATGAGTAAATTATTTAAATATTATTAAATATAATTAAATACAGTATTACATTAAGTATAGTATTGCATAGTTTATTATTTTCAAAAATGTTTATTAGACCCATCTATAATACATCTTTTCACTGTATTTGTGTCTTTATATAAAAAATAAACTACATAATGGCCATTTAGATTTTAGGACAGTGGTCTCTCACATCATATCATATTTTCACCTATGGTGTCTGTAAGATAGAAAACCCCTCATTTTGAATATTTAAAGTGTATGTATCAAACATAATGTAGACTTTATAAGGTTAAAACATGTAACAACGAGTGAATTCTGTCAGACACTGATTTTTTTCTTTTAAATAATTCATGCAATTGTGCGGTGAAGAGATTATGCTTAATGCTTTATTTATCAAGCTGCTATTTAATTTGAACTTTTGAGGACATGAAAGACTGAAAAAACTAAAGTGTAGCTACAGTGTATGTGATTTCCATAACATAGATTTGAACTTACATCTTGTTCTGCCAGACATTTAGCAAATCTTGCCATGCATTTGGCTGTCAAAAGCATCACATATTTGTTTATTTGTGGCCCATTCAGTATCAGGACAGTGCTGGCAGGCCGCAACCTACTCTGAAAGCGTGGTGTCTCCGGAGCTGAGGAGCAGCAGTATTTTACGTGTCCCGGATGTGTCGTCCCTGGCTCAGTGTGCCGGGGCCTGCTGTGATCTCCCGGGCTGTGACCTGGCCTGGTTTTTTGAGCACCGATGCTATGTGCTCAGTTGTCAGCACACAGAAAACTGCCAGCCGAAGAAGAGACCTGGTACAGACTCTTACCTGGCCTTCCTGCAACGTGGGCCCCCACAAACACTTGTCCTGCAGTCCCTGGTTCGAGGAGAGTCTTTCCCAAACCATTGGCAGCCTCTGGCCAGACACCGGGGATCCGAGGATCCCATGAAGGATCTCGCTCTGCTTGAAGGGATTCAGGATTCGGACAACCCTGAGCCTGAGTATGCAGAGAGTTTTCGAAGTTTGGAAGACAAAAGAGCTGAAGACATAGACCTAAAAGCGGTAGAGCAAGAAGAGCAAACTGGGCTTTATGATTGGCCACCTGTTCAAAGAAAAGAGGAATTCAACCAATCAGAGACGGAGAGAGGCAGTAAAAGATTGACAACTGTTCAGGGCCCTGTTGAAAGTAGCACCATTACCCCAAGTCATCTTTCAGAAGAGAGAAATGAAAGCAGATCAACCATTATTGAAGCAGAATCTAATGTTACGGTACCATCAACCACTGTATTTGACATTAAGGTGAGATTTTTTTTAAGATAATGAAAACAGATAAAAGAAGTTAGTACTGCTTTTATTCAGCAAGGATGCATTTAAAGTTATTGAAAATTTTACCGTTGATAACTTTTTAAAAGCAAGCTTTTATGAAATAATTCTAAAAATAAATTGGATTTAACATTAAGAAATATGTTTTCTGTATTACAGCTATGAATATATATATATATATATATACACATATAAATATATATATATATATATATATATATATATATATATATATATATATATATATATATATATATTTATTTATTTATTTTTATTTATTTATTTTTTGAAATTTAGTCAAGCGATTCCACTTAATGTTGATTTCTTATCTATTCTCAAAATCAAAGTCAGCTTTATTGTCTATTCAACCACATGTGCAGAACATACAGAGAATCAAAATTGCGTAACTCTCAGACCCTAGCCTAACATACAATATTAATACAAAAGTTGAATTTTAAAAAGAAATTACAATAAATACAATTATGCATAAAATGTAATCTAAAAATATTGGTAAAAAATAAACATTTGTAAACAATACATTTACACTTAAGGGCATATGGCAAGGAGTTCAAACCAGAGTTCAGATGTAAAACAGTATATAGTGCAAAAAATGCAGTATAATGTAAAACAGTAAATAGTGCAAAAGGCTTGTAAACATGATAATTATGATAAAGTGACAGTATAATGTAAAACAGTATATAGTGCAAAAGCCCTCTGAACTTAAAGCTATGGTCTAAATCAGGGGTCACCAACCCTGTTCCTGGAGAGCGACCTTCCTGCACATTTCAGTTGCAACCCTGACCAAACACACCTGTTTGTAATTATCAAGTGCTGCTTTAGGTACTATTAATTAGTTCAGGTGTGTTTGATCAGGGTTGGGACTGAATTTTGCAGTAAGGTAGCTCTCCAGGAACAGGGTTGGTGACCCCTGGTCTAAATATTAAAAAAAGTATTTCTGAAAAAATGGCACATTTGACATTGAATTTTACACTTTGAAGTAATCAGATCAACAGTTTACAAAATAATACAAAAAAATATATTGAACCAATAAACATCAAAAATCAAGTGGTATGCATGTATTATGTATTCATGGTTTGTCCTGGCTCAAAATAAAGGGGAAATGGTATCCTCAAAAAAAAAAAAATTGGCAAATTGAAACAAACACCTTTTGCATTATCTTATTTTTAAAAGCTAACATTTAATGTAATTAAATATATTACCAGTGCTTGAGCAACGCTTGGGGTCTGATGGTAGCAGTGACTGCCTGCCTGATTTTGTATTTATATATTGTAAAGGTCGTCACAGCAGAATGAAGGTTATAAATTGTAGGTTGTCAGCGGAATGAACCACCAACTTATCCAGCATTTGTTTTACGTAGCAGATGCCGTTCCAGCTGCAACCCATCACAGGGAAACAGCCATACATTCACACACATACACTACGGCCAATTTAGCTTACCCAATTCACCTTTAGCGCATGTCTTTGGACTGTGGGGTAAACCGGAGCACCCGGAGGAAACCCACACCTACATGGGGAGAACATGCAAACACCACACAGATATGTCAACTGACCCAACCGGGGCTCGAACCAGCAACCTTCTTGCTGTGAGGTGATCATGCTACCCACTGTGCCACTACTCACTGTTATTAAGCTTTAACACACTATGGACAATACATTTATTACAGTATTTGTTCATGTTAACATTACTTAATGAAAATACTGTTGTTTATTGTCTGTTTATGTTAACTCACAGTGCATTAACTAGTGTTAACTAGCATTAAATTTGGATTTAATAATGCATTATTAAATGCTGAACTATGAATAATAAATGCTGTACTAGTATTGTTTATAATTATAATAATTTAATTATAACATTAACTAATGAAACCTTATTGTAATCTGTGACTATTATAATTATTAATTTAAGTAAAATAATAACATTGAAGAATCCATTTGTAACCATGGCACAGTAATCAAGACCGGCATTGCTCTTACTGATAGCTGCCAGTTCATTATCATTGCTTGAAATGTCACGATTCTATTTTAATGCTGTGGCGTCATTAGGAAACATGGTGTCTTAAATGTTCTCCCACTCTGGCTAAGCGCTTAATCAGTCAGTTTTATGTCTCATCTGTTGTGTGAAATCTGTAGACATGAGTATGAAAACACTTTTATCATTAAAGGTTGAAGAAGAGCCACAGAACACATCGTCTGCAACTACTGCACCTAAAGTCGTGGAAGACCTCAGTACAGAGACCGCAAACTTTAGTGCAGTCAACGGTTCATTCATCACTCCAGCCAACACTGAAGCTACACCGCAGATGACTTCAGAACAGCCAGGTACTGTGCGCAATATTGGGGAAAGTTACTTTAAAAGCAAAAATGCTGTACTAAGTAACTTTTTTTAATTAAAGTTATGTGTTACTTTTATGTTACTTTTTCATCTGGCCTGGGCCTGCTTTTAATAACACACACACAAAAAAAAAAAACATAAAAACCTGAATGTTTTTGTAAAACCCTTTTACTACAGTAGCTGAGAGAGCTCACAGTTAAACAAATGTAAATAAAGAAAACACTAACAAATTGAGAAAACATCTTAATCAATTTGACCACACATGTACATGCAAATTCTCACAACACATGCAAATACAGAAATGTGCTGCAAATAATGCACATTAAATAAATATTAAATGCTAATTGTGCAATTGTCAGGTTATTAGGGCTAAAAATACTCAAACTGAACGACCAGGGCATTAAAATTAACATAAAACTCACCTCAGATCTTCTCCAACACTGCTGACTTTAGTAACTGAAAGTAACTTAAAGTCATTGCCGGTCCCACTTTATATTAAGTGTCCCTAACTACTATGCACTTACATAAAAAAAATAAATACAATGTACTTACTGTGTTTATAAAGTATTTGAGAACACTTGTGGTGCTTTTGAGTTGGAATAGAGTTTGGGTTATGGACAGGTTTGGTGGCATGGGTAGGTTTAAGGGTAGGTTAAGGTGTGAGGGATGGTCAACAGTGTATTTACAAATGTAATTACAAAAGGTAGTTACAGATGTAATTACATACATGTATTTAATCAAGCATAAGTACAAAGTAAATACATGTATTTACACAATAAGTACATTGTAACAAACTATTAATTCCTATGTAAGTACATATTAGTTAAAGCCACTTAATATAAAGTGGGACCCTATTGCCATTGTCTTGCTTTTTTGTTGTTTAAAATACACTTCATATTCAGTAAAATCATCAGTTTGACTGCACTGACAGCTGATATTAACTGATCCAAGCTCCTTTAGAAGCAAATGAACGACACCTGTGCATTTTGTAGAGCTGCTTATAGCTTGACTGAACTTATTTTAAAAGTGACTCAACTTCAATATTTGTTTTTTAAACTGAACTGAATTAACATTAAACTTACTTGAATTGAAAACCACTTGTCTTCTTTAATTTAAAGAGATAGTTCACTCAAAAATGAAAATGTTCTTACAATTTCCTCACTCTCAGGTGGTTTTAAATCTTGATGAGTTTTATTTTCTGATGAACACAAAATACTTTCTTTTGAATAGTGTCATGCTGCGTTTAAACCAGACGTTGATGACGCATCAAGCGTAAGTGATTTACATGTTAAGTCACTGCAAAGGCGGGAATAGACATTTTGCAGCGCGTTACGTGCGAATGAAGTGGTGTGAGTTGAGCTGTTTATGTGATTGATGCGCCTATCGCACATTTTACGTTGGAAAATTTGAACTTAGCGGACATTCGCACCAAGTTTACCAATCAGGAGCTTGCTCTGGTAGGGGCGTGATTATGACGTAGCGCCTGTTGTTGGTTACCTGGGGGAAAATGTTCCGGCCAACACTGGACAAAAGTTACATCAAACTGGGCTCGGCTCAGTTAGAAGCACCACTGAAAGCCTCTATCATCCATCATCCATCATCCAGGTATAGTTTCTGGAGGAGTTGATGAACCTATAGAGCTGGGTGCACCTCTGAATGGATTTAGTAAACTCAGACACGGCTCCAATCAAATCAACGCTGTTTTTCAGCCTTTCTAAAGTACATAAACACAGCTATTCTCTCAATAAAATCCATGTTAGCCATTTAGCAACGAAGCTAGAGTCACCGGGCAGACAGAAGCCCTATCCATGACGCAAATCCACATCTATTGTGCTGCGAATGAAGTGGTTTTAACACACAAATGAAGCGAGTAAACACAAAATGTTTAAGCGTCTATTTACGTGCAAATAGCACGATTTATCATTTATTTATTATACATGCTGTGTCTTGTGTGAACACAGCGACAGAAACCTATTTGTCATCTAAAATATTGACGTCCATAGTAGGAAAAACAAAGACGATTGTTACAGGTTATACACCTTTTAAAAATATATATATTTTTTGTGTTCAACAGAAAAATTCAAACATGTTTGTGACAAGTGAAGTGTGAGTAATTATTGACATACATTTTAGTTTTGGGGTGAACTATCCCTTTAACTTGTTTTATAATTGATTGACTTTGCACTGTTATAACCAAACCGAATCAACATTGTTATTCAGACACTGAACGTTGTTTCAATTTACTATAATCTTCTATATTAAGCTGCTTTGACACAATCTACATTGCAAAATCGCTATAGAAATAAAGATGAATTGTTGAGTTGACTAACTAAATTGAGCTTAAAACTGTTAAAAAAAAACTGTGGTCTTAAAGTTGCCTTTTAGGAAAGTTTTTTTTGGCATTATTTATTGTTTATTATTACTATAAAGCTATTGTGTGATATAAAATTGTATATAAATAGATGTGACTTGACTTGATTGGCTGTCTTGTTATTCTCTCTTTGTTCAGTAAGAGCTCTGACTGTGTCCATTGAAGGCCCTGTTGAAGCCATGCTGCCCCAAAACACTGTTAAACTAACAGCTTTAGTTAGTCCAGATGATACTGCCGGTACGACCTTCTACATTCTGAATTTTATGCATTCCAGATGAGTCATGATTATGTATTTATTTTTTTTTATTTTAAATTTCCTCTAGAATCTCCTTACACATATGAGTGGACTTTTGTGATCTCACCAGAAGGACAACGTAGGGTGATGGAGGGGCAGCACAACAAATCTGTCATACTTTCTGAAGTGAGATTTAATTCATTTAATACACTTGTTTTTTTTATTTCTAATTTTATTTTGACAAGGAATAGTAAGACTAATTTCCACTTCCATGTTTTATTGAAAATAATTTTTAAACTTAAAAAATATGAATTGTTACATTTTTATTTGATTATATTTTAAAGATTGAACTCTCAATGTTTAATAATTATAATAAGTGTGTTGTATAATAATTCAGACATTTTTATTACTTCTTTAATATATCTGATATTAAATCAGATATATTAAACAACATACAATTTCTAAATAATAATTAGTTGTAGTTTTATTTATTTGGGTATTTAAAATTGATAAATAATAATAATAATAATAATAATAATAATAATAATAATAATAATAATAATAATAAATCATAATTTTTGTTAACCAAAATAAAAGTATATGCTATACTACGCATCACAGTTCATAATTATTTGTCTTTGGATTTTGTTTTTCCCTGAATTAAAAAAAATAAAAAACACAAAAAACCATAATTTAGTAGATTAAATTATTTTCAATTTCTGAGAGCATTTCTGTATCCTTTATTCCAGCTGTCAGAGGGTGTTTACGCAGTCAGAGTGATTGTGAAAGCACATCAAGCATATGGAGAAGGTTCTGTGGACTTGACCGTACACCCTGGTACAACTATACCCTCTTTGCATCATCATTTATTCACCAAAAAAAAAAAAAAGTATGTGCATCATGTGCCTCACACAGTGGATGAATTGGCTTCCTTTTCATTCTACAGCAGAGAAAATAAACAAGCCTCCTAAAGCAGTCGTTCTTCCCAAGAGCCAAGATGTGCTGTTCAAAAAAGATTCTGTCTTAATCATTAACGGAAGTGGTATGTGGCCTGTTTCCTTTTTTCTGCTTTTTGCTATAGATCTATTAGGTCATGTGTTTTAACTAAATTTGCATTTCCAGAGAGTATGGATGATGCAGGGATTGTCAGTTATCTGTGGAAAAAGGTGGACGGCCCGTTTTGGACACCTGAAGGTCCTGTTAACAAACCTGTACTGCAGCTGAAAAATCTTTTACCTGGAGAATATACCTTCGAGTAAGGACTTTTGTTTTACAAAAAATAAATAAGGCATTTGACACAGTAATAACACATTGATAAATTAAATATGGGCTGATTTGCATACATTTCTAACTAAAAAAAAAACTGATTAGAAATACTTATTATACTTATAATATATTTATTTAGGTTTAAAGGTTTTTCCAGGGGGGATTTTGGATTTTTTATTTATATCTCCTAATAATTTTGTTCTGTCATGACAACTCTATTACAACTAACTTGAGATATAGTATGGTAATAAATATGTATCTAGCAGTGTTGATGGGTTTGGTCTTGGTGGAATAAATGTGCTACGCTGCTGCTGCTGCTGCTTTGATTATTTTGGCAGAGCATATAAAGTTAACACACTGCTGTTCCAAACATAATATACAGTTAGGTCCATGAATATTTGGACATCGACACAATTCTAAAATTTTTGGCTCTGTACACCAACACAATCTGAAACGAAACGAACAAGATCAGCTTTATCTGCAGACTGTCAGTTTTAATTTGAGGGCACATCTAAATCAGGTGAACACTGTAGGAATTATAACAGTTTGCAAATGTGCTTCCTACTTGTTAAGGGTCCAAAAGTAATTGGAGAATTGTCTATTAAGCTGTTCCATGGGCAGGTGTAAGTTATTCCCTCATTATCTCAATTACAGAGCAGATAAAAGGTCCAGAGTTCATTTCAAGTATGCTATTTGCATTTGATATCTGTTACTATCTGTCAATTCTCAAGTTGAGATTTAAGGGGAAAGAAGTGTTATGTTATGCAATGGCTAAGTCAATCCCCTGAGCTCAATCCGATTGAGCATGCATTTCACTTGCTGAAGACAAAACTGAAGGGTAAATGCCACAAGAACAAGCAGGAACTGAAGACAGTTGCTGTAGAGGCCTGGCAGAGCATCACCAAGGTAAAACCCAGCATCTGGTGATGTCTATGCGTTCCAGACTTCATTGACTTCATTGACATTGTAATTGACTGCAAAGAATTTACAACCAAGTATTAAAAAGTGAAAGTTTGATTTATGATTATTATTCTGTCCAATTACTTTTGGTCTCTTAACAAGTGGGAGGCACATATGCAAACTGTTGTAATTTCTACACCGTTCACCTTATTAGGATGTAGATGCTCTCAAATTTAAGCTGACAGTCTGCAGTTAAAGCACATCTTGTCATCTTTTCACTTCAAATCCATTGTGTTGGTGTATAAAGCCAAAAATGTTAGAATTGTGTAAATGTCCAAATATTTATAGACCTAACTGTATATGTAACCCCATAGCAGATTTAAACACGGGGGAGCTGGGGTATATGAGGGTTTTCGAAAACGCAGTGCGTATAGTATAAAACAACACAGAGTCATTTAAAGTGCTGAGGAGCAAAATCATTGGCTGCTGAGGCGGCAGCAACCAATCACCTGCACCATATAGTTGATGATGTAGGATCAATTTGGACACGGCCTACTCTATCTGCCTGCGCGAGTTTCACAACAGAACTATGTATGAAACCTCGCCACTGTTGCCACTGGCTTGCATGGTTCAGGATTTGTGGAGCTGCACATCGATGGATTTGCTCTTCAGTGTTTGGACTTTCAGCAGTGAAATTAAACCACACTAAACTGAACTAAACTAAACTTTAACTCTGAAAACTGGACTTACACTGTTTCAATTCACTATAATCTTCTATGTTGAGCTGCTTTGACACAATCAACATTGTAAAAGGGCTATAGAAATAAAGATGAATTGAATCAAATACTGTGAGCAGCAGGAAAACCAAAAATATTTTATCATTTATTAATTTATTTTGTAGAAAAAAATGCTGTTCATAAGCAGACAAATTATCTATGAGCCCTCTAAATAAACCTTCAGAATTCATACTATATACATAAAACAAAGTTGTGTGTATGTCTGTACCGCTGAAGTGAATATTTATGGCTTAGTGCAGGAGAAAAAACTTATTTTGAGAAAATGTTTGATGTTCTAGAAATCCACAGACACAAATGACTAAAATGTGTTGAAATAAACTCTTTAAAGTGTTTATTTTCTATATGAAAACTATTATGCCGTGAAAAAGACCAAAACTGACATAGGCATGAGGCTGTTGAAATCTTTAGTGAATGATTCCTTTGGGTTTTCTTTTAATTAGTATTGACCTCATTAACTTCATCCTGACCTGATTTTTGCTTGGCCTACATTAGGCTGACAGTGTCTGATTCTGAGGGGCTGAGCGACTCCAGCACTGCCACCTTGAGGGTCAGCATCCCAAAAGATGAGCCTCCTCTGGCCAGAGCGGGCACAGACCGGGTCATTACCCTGCCTCTCAACCACCTCACCCTGTGGGGAAACCAAAGCACAGATGACCAGGCCATTACAAGCTACCTCTGGACACTCCATCCCAGCAGCCCGACCCGAAAGGTCACCATGCAGGTAATTAGATCTTTACTTCACCCAGTGGAAAATGTAAGGTTGACCTTTTTTTTTAACTACAGTTGTTGACAGGAACGGTTTGTCTACTGCAATGTCACTTCTAAAACTCCTAAGGAGAAAGAAAATAAAATAAAATGGGTGTTCTGTTATTTTGTAACAATCTTTCTGTTTAGTTCATTCCCAAAACATTTGGGCATATACATTGTCAGTAAATAAACCAGATGGAAACCTACTGAAAAACGCCTTAGAATAACATTGAAATAAATTGCTATAACTTACTTAGGGAATGGTGGCAACATGCACGCTGGATGTATAAAACATCCTAGCATAACTTTCTAAAGAAACAAGAGATTTTGTTTGTGTTAGCCGTAGAAATGCTACATACATATACATATATGTATATATATTTTTATTTATTTATTTATTTTTGTAGTTTTTCCTAAAAGTCTGTAAATTGTATCTTTTTTTGCCATAAAAATGTAAAATTGGAATTTCTAAGGATAAAGATTGAAACTTTAGCTTCTTCTGTTTAAAATTATATATGACACTTGATGCTGACATCTAAAATAAGTTAGAGAAAACCAAAAATGCAAACATCTTGGGCATCTTCATTGTCAGTAAATAGAATGTACCAGTTGTTCCACTTAAAACACCTAGAATAACATTGGGATAAAATGCTATAATTTGCACAGGGAATGGTAGACAAAATTTATTTTGAAAGTATAAAACATCATAGCATGTATTTCTAAAAAAAAAAAAAAAAAAAAAAACTTCATGAGGTTTTGTTTGTAATAACTAGAAAATGCCTCATTTTTTAAAACCGTTTTTCTTAAATTTCTAGAATATTTTCTGTCTGTTCATATGTTTTTGGACCAAAAAATATTTTAGACTGGACCTTTAAATGATACAGATTGAAGCTTCAGGTTCTCCTGTTTAAAATAATATGACACTTGAGGCTGACTGCTAAAATAAAAAAATAAAACTGCTTTAAAAAAATAATAATATCGGCCCAATAGGTGCCCACAAAATACCTCTAGGTCTTTAAGGGTAAAATAAATGTAATGAATTACATAAAATAGTTTGATTGTAGAATTTAAAGAGACTGTGTCACTTTTAATAATTTAAGAAAAATCTATAAATACACCTAAAGTGATGATAATTTAACATGGATATCTAGGATGAACAACTGAGTTGTCATTTATTAATCCTCATTTTTTGATGAATTTGTGCTGATTCAAGATGATCAAGTCCACAATAATTCATAATAATTTAGGACTTGATATTTAGAGATGTTTTCATATGCTCCATCTTTAGGATGTGAGATCAGCATTTCTGCTAGTCTCTGATCTAGAGGAGGGTCAGTACACGTTTCAGCTCACAGTCACTGACTCAAGAGGTCAACAGGATTCAGACACCATCTCTGTCACTGTGCTGCCTGGTAAAACACAACCCCGGCACCAATAAATATGTATACAGAATAACTATACATCCTCTGCAGTTGACATTTTATTATTTGTGGCAGCAAACAGAGCACCAGTGGCTGTAACAGGACCAGACATACAGCTACTCCTGCCGGTCAACAGCATCACACTGAATGGCAGCGGCAGCACTGATGATCAGGCCATCAGCAGATACCAGTGGGACGTGATGAGGTATTGTTTTATTTATTTATTTATTTATTTATTTATTTATTTATTTATTTATTTATTTATTTATTATTATTATATATTTTTTTAAGATTTAACTGGTTGAACTAAAAATGGAATAATCATTAATTTACAAATACATTTTTTCCATCATTTCTAAATTACTTATAATTATATTAAAACATTTATTACCCTACTGTTTAAAAGTGTGTGTGTGTGTGTGTGTGTGTGTGTCGGTGTGTGTATGTGTATGTTTATGTATGTATGTATGTATACGTATGTACGTACGTACACACACACACACACACACACACACACACACACACACACACACACACACACACACACACACACACACACACACACACACACACACACACACACACACACACACATTTTTATTAGTATTATTATCTTCATTATTATTGTATATAATTCATATAAATAATGATATATATTATATTATATTATATTATATCATTATATTATATATTATATCATTATAAAACATATACTTTATATAATACTTTTACAAAAATGTTTATTAGATAAATACAAAATAATAATAATGTTTGATCACGTTAATATTTTATTATATATTTAAAATTTTATTAATAAATTTAATTCAGTAATAAAATATACATTTATTTTCAGCAGGCATTTATTTCAGTCACCTACATTCATGAAAATAAGAACATAAAACACAGTAATATTATGAAAAATTATTACAGTGTAATATAAATATATTTTTAAATTCTTTTTTTAAAATGTAATTTATTCCTGAGATGGCAGCAGTGTTACACAATCCTTCAGAAATTATTATAATATGCTGATGTGATGTCCTCAAGAATTATAGCTGACAGTGTTGAAAACACTATGTTCAATGTTTTTTTGTAAATGTAACTGTTTTACTTCTGTTTTGATCAAGTTTATGCAGACACACAAAACAAATGTATGATTAAATTATTATGTATAGTATGTATTTTAGTATTTATTTATACTATATTATATATATTATAATAGTATTATTTAATTTTGATTGATTGATTGTATGTAAAGCAATGTAAATTTATATTCATTTCTCAGTGAATATAGCAATTCTTTTTGGTGCATCAAAACAAAACTGTTTTGTTAAACTGTTATATTCATTAAAATAAGAGTTTGTTTAGCTAATATCTTTAGGATAGAAAGAGAATACATTTGAATTCAAATGAGTTATTGCAAAATAAAAAACAATGCTAACTTCAAAGATTTCAACAAAATTATTTCCTTTTTTGTGTTTCTCTTGATTTTTCCTGTTTATTAAAATTTTATTCAATATTTTCTAGTAACATATTAATTTGGTTGTTCTAATTTTTGTGATCTTGTTTTTTTTGTTAAATTGGTTTAAATTTTGGCATCTTATATGGAACATGTGAATTTTAATAGAGAGATCTGTGAAGAATGTACTCATTTATGCTAAGCTAAGCACTACATGTGCATACATTTTTATCTCATAATTCTTGTATCTTTTTTATATAAAGGAGATTTTGGGAATTAAATTATTTTATCTCAATAATTCAGGAAATACTACATGCAGCCAGAAAACAAAAATTTCTATGTTTTATTATGATACAATGATATATAATAACATATAATGTATTATAATATTATAATATTTTTATTTCATTTTGATTGATTTTATGTAAAGTGTGATAAATCTGGACATCTGGAATTATGTGAAGTGCCAAAGAAACATTTAATCATATTTAAACCAATTATTTGCAACAAAAGAATCTGTTCACAAAAATGAGCCAGACATCCCAAAGAAAAATGTAGCATGTTATCATTACGAAAGCTTAATTCCAGGATATATTTCTGTTTCATTTTTCAAAACAAATTACCCTCATGCTCAGTGTTGCATAAATAGTGCAGGCTTTTGGTGGCCTGTGTGTTGATCATCCCCATTCTTCTCTTATATAATGATGAAGTGGCCCTCCAGGCTTGAAGATGAAAGATGCCAATAAAGCGGTTGCCATCGCGACAGGCCTGAGATCTGGGATTTACAAGTTGAAGTTGACTGTGGTGGATGAGCAGGGAGAAACAGACAGTGCAGTCCTGAGCATCACAGTTAAAGAAGGTGAGCTGAAACATGCACATGCATAAATGTGAATAAAGGGACAGTTCACACAAAAAATGAAAATCGACTCTATCATTAATCACTATTAACTCGCACTCAAGCAGTTTTTTGCTTCTAATACACACAAAATAAGATATTTTGAAGAAGCCTCTAACCATTGTGTAATGTTGTCTTGTCATATATTTGGTTACCTGCTTCACACCATGTGCTTCTTTGTGTGTGTGTGTGTGTGTGTGTGTGTGTGTGTGCGTGTGTGTGCGTGTGTGTGCGTGTGTGTGTGTGTGTGTGTGTGTGTGTGTGTGTGTGGTGTGTGTGTGTGTGTACCATGTTTTCAGTGGTTGATTTAGGCTGGTGTCTTGTTCTTCATTGGTTATCCTTGTCATGTGGCTTGTTTCCCTTTGGTTGTGTCATGTCATGTGATCCTGTGTGTTTGATATAAATACCCTCATGTTACCTTGTCTAGCTTTGTTTGTGTAATCTCGGTTGATGAGTTTGTTGGTTTTGCCATGTCTTGTCAAGTTTCATTTCTGGTCAAATTCAGGTTTTGTTTTGTATTCATGCCAAGATTAGTGTTAAGTTCTTGTTTTGTTTGTTTTGCCCTTTTTGTTAATAAACTACATTTGGGTTCTTTTATGCTTGCTTTCAGTGGACTTCGTTACACATTGACTTCCATTGTAGGAAATGCAAACACTATGGAGGTAATGGTTACAGATTTTCAGCTTTCTTCAAAATGTCTACTTTTGTGTCCAACAAAGGAAAGAATCTTACAAAGGTTTGAAACAAGTGTTGAGAAAATGACTTTATTTTTGGGTGAACTATCCCTTTAACAAAAATAATTGCAATATTTGGATATGACTTTATAAAATGTTGAAACATTCAAAGTAACTAATAATAAATTGTAGGTGTTCGTATCAATACATGAGTCATAATGGAATGCTTAATGATTTTTGGAAATGGGCTCATTTTACAGTTCCCCTAGATTTAAACAGTTGAGTTTAACATTTTTTAATCCATTCAGCCAATTTCTGGATCTGGTTGAAGCTTTTTTTTTTTAGCTTAGCATAGGACATTGAATCAGATTAGACCATTAGCATCTTTTAAGAATTTAAATATTCTCAATTCAAATGAGTAGTGGCTTGTACCTGTAAACAAGATTCCATAAGTCATCTTAACAAGCGGATGTGATGGGATGCTGCACACAACTACAGATTTCAGAATTCAAATAGGTTTTATTTGCCAAGTGTGCACAAAACGATTTTGTGTGTGTTTTTCAGGAGTATATACACATAAGAAGGCAGAAGGACATTTAAGTAAGGGAAAAATGGAAATATTTTGAGTCAATTCGCATTGACTCTTTTAACTGTACAAACAAGAAATATTTTTATAAAAGTATTTACAATTGTTACTTTATTGGTTACAAAAACCAAAACAGTAAGGGTACTGAATGTGTCTGACCATAAGAAAACGTGTAGCAACTGATGTACTAACTATTTAAGTTGATATGGCTTGAGGAACAAAAAGTGTGTATGATGCCTGGTTTCACTTTTATCTTCACACAAACAGTTCTAATGTTAAATTCACAGCTAAAAGCCTGCCACTGGTGGCTCATGCCAGCGGCAGCCATACACTCACTTTGCCCAACAACTCTCTGGTGCTCAGAGGTTCAGTGTCCAACAGCGGACCAGCAAACGTGTCCTTTCTGTGGGTTAGAGATGAACAGAGCCCTGCTGCGGGGGTGAGTGATATTGTTGGATTGTTTTCTGTGTCATTTGCTGTGGCTCAGTGTTTTACCTTTCTTTGTCTTGTTTTCACATCTTTTGAGAGTAGGATGTGTTGTATGGTTCAGATCACGAGGCCTCGCTTTACCTTGCCAACCTGGTAGAAGGAACATACCTGTTCCAGCTGCGGGTCACCGATGTCCAGGGCCGCTCAAGCACGGCTACAGCCACTGTGGAAGTACGACCTGGTAAGATATTACTTACTTTTAATAGGAAGCAGCTGCTTGATGTTGTAAAGTAATTTATTTGACATATGTTTATTCCAGGATTCTTTTGATAGGATTCTTTGATAAAAAATTGTATAAAGTTCAAATGAACAGCATTAATTTGAAATAATTTGCAATACATGTTGTTATTGTGGCATTTGACCAATTTTTTTGCATTTTTGATGAACGCTCAAATGTCTGAGTCGTATTCTACTACAGAATGATGCTATACATCATAACCAACCTCATTAAATACTTTACTACCTTTAAATTCCCTTGAAATCAAAATGTCATTTTGGTTTGGTTTAATTTGTTAACTTTATAGCATAAAGTTATATATAAGCTATTGCTCCAAAACTTGACAAAATTCAAGCCAATTCCATTCAGCCAATGGGCTACATGCACAGCTAGTGTATTTCAGCCAACGGTAAGCATCATAATGTAATTAAAATACAATCAAATACACTTAAACATTCATTTAGTTTTTCAAGCATAAAATGAGATGACAGAAAGTGTAAACTCTAGCGCCGTCAGTGGAAGCAGGCTGGTGCAGAAACTCTATTGAAAATACTGGGGCAAAATACATTTTCATTATGAGATGGCTTTAAAAAAAAAGTCTGTGCGCGTAGACCCCATTTCCGGATCTGGCCAGAGCGCTTTTAGCTTAGCATAGATCATTGAATCAGATTAGATCATTAGCATTTTTTGAGAATTTATATTTTCCTAATTCAAATGATTGAACATATCTTATATTATATCTTCTCATTTAGAAGATTCAAACATTCAAAACTTGCAGTCACTTACATACACCGATATGACTGAGGGATTTTGATGACATTACACTGCACTTCTCTTCAGATATTCTGACCAATCAAATGCCCTCTAGAATCTGAAACACCCAATCCCCTACACTATAAATAAATACTAAAGTTGCAACTTAAATGAATCAACTGTTCACACAATTACAATGTTGTATATGATAAATGGCACATAGTGCACAATATAAGCTGACAAATAAATCAGACAATGGAATATACTTAACACTGGGGTGAATGAGGTCTGATTTTGGTACGCAGTCTGCTCCAGTCTAAAGACATGTAATGTAAATTTGTGGGAATAGCCAAACATAGCCAATGTATTTAAGTCTAAATGATTGATTTTTATTTTATGCCAAAAATCATTACAATATTAAGACAATTTTCCATTTTGTAAATTAATTAATTCATTTTCCTTCGGCTTAGTCTCTTATTATTCATAAGGGGTCACCACAGCGGAATGAACCGCCAACTTATCCAGAATATGTTTTACACAGCGTATGCCCTTCCAGCTGTAACCCATTACTGGGAAACACCCATACACTCTCACATGCACATCCATACACTATGGTTAATTTAGTTTATTCAATTTACCTATAGCGCATCTCATTGGATTATGAGGAAAACCAGAGCACCTAGAGCAGGGGGGTCTAAACTTGGTCCTGGAGGGCCGGTGTCCTGCAAAGTTTAGCTCCAACTTCCTCCAACAAACCAGCCTGGAACTCTGGTATACCTAGAAAGAGCTTGATTAGCTGGTTCAGGTGTGTTTATTGGGGTCGGAACTAAAATATGCAGGCAACCGGCCCTCCAGGACAGAGTTTAGACACCACTGACCTAGAGGAAACCCACGCCAACATGGTGAGAACATGCAAACTCCACACAGAAATGTCAACTGACCCAGCCGGGAGGCTGTAAAGTGATAGTGCTAACCACTGAGCCACTGTGTCGCCCATTTTGTAAATTTCCTTGAGAAAATCGTTTTTGGTTAGTAATATGCATTGCTTAGAACTTAATTTTGACATCTTTAAAGGTGATTTTCTTACTATTTAGATTTTCACCTTCAGATTTCAGTTGTTCAAATAGATGCATCTCGGCCAGATACTGTCCTTTCCTAACAAATCATACATCAATAGAAAGATTGTTTATTTTTTCATGCATACATCTCATTTACCAAAATTTAGCCTTATGGCTGATTTTGTGATCCTGGGTCACATATATTCTGCTTTTTGTTGATATTGATGTGCAGATCCGCGTGAGCGAGAGGAGGTGGAACTTGAGCTGCAGGTGAGCGTGGCTCAAGTCAGTCAGCAACAGAGAGACACAGTGATCAGACAGCTGGCCGCACTTCTGCATGTGTTGGACTCAGACATCGCACTAAAGGCTCTACATGGACAGTCTGACATCAGGTACAGTACATCTCACACATTAGCCAAACCACTCCAAATAAGGTCTTTTATTATAGAGGATCTGAAAGCATGAAGTCCAAAACTTCACTGAGTGCCTCAGACATTGTCTTGTTCAGTTTTAGATGCTTAAGTCTCAAGTCATTTAAAGAAATGGTCCACCCAAAAATGAAAATCCTGTTATTAACAACTCGCCCTCAAGTCGTTCTTAAAAGTCTTCATGCATCATCAGAACATAAATATTGATATTTTAGATGAAATCTGAAAGCTCTCTCATATTCCTCAGTAGACAGCAACAGTTCCAAGATGTTCAAAATCCAGAAATGGAAACATTCCATGTGACTTCAGTGCTTTAACTGTTATCATACAAAGCTCCAAAAACACTTTTGTCTTTACTCTCAGTTACACAATTACAAGAATTTATTAATTTTTCTCCCCCAAGCGACTGGTGTTATACTCAGAAACTATATACATATTATATATACAAAATAAGATAAACTTTAGAATGTTGGGCAAAAAGAAGCAAATTACTTCAATTGTATTTTTTGTTCCGGCTATGGGTGTCAATAGCTGCTTTTTCCAACATTCTTTAAAATAATATTGTTTTGTTTTCAACAGAAGAAATTCATTAAAAGTTTAGAACCCCTTGAGTGTGAGTAAATGCTATGGAAATTTTCATTTTTGAGTGAACTATCCCTTTAACTGACTAAACATGTAATTAATAATCCTAGTTTAATTAGGATTATTAAAATCCTATATTTTATACAATTATACAATTATATACAATTATAAATGTGCCTCCTGTGTTTAGCACAGTATTCAGGTTCTCGGTGCAGGGTCCTGATGGTTTGATCCCTGGCCCTAAACTTGCCCGCCTGCTGAGAAACCAGCTGTTGAGAGAGAAAAGCGACTTCTTGCTCTTTAGGGTCTTAAGAGTGGACACAGTCAGTGAGTGACTTGAATCCTTTACTAAATAATTTCACTAATGTTTTACAACAAAGGAGAATTAATTTATTGTTTAATTGACTTCATTTGAATGCAATCTTTCTTATATTATCTTAATGAACACTGCAGTGTGTTTGCTGCTGTGTTCTGGGCGTGGTCAGTGTGACCCCATTACAAAAAGCTGTTCCTGTGACCCTCTGTGGATGGAGAACCCCATCCGCCTCTTCATAGACGATGGAGAGAGCAATTGTGGTTAGTATGACCTTTCCTATTTAAATTAGCAATTTCAAATAGTGGTTAAAAAAAGAGGTAAGCAAACTAAGAAGGTGTGGTCACATTTGATGAAAACCTGTGTAGGTTCAGTAACTTTTATGGTGATGAATAGGTTATTTACATTCCGTTTTTTTTTGCTTCTCAACTCTTCATTTACTATTATGTGAAAGTTCACATTCTGAGTGGAAGTGGGCAGGGCATCAAGGCACATTTGAAGCCAAATTCTGCTTCAGTTTCTGTCTCAGGAGATAACTTATGATTGAATTTTGAAGGCAGCATAGAAGTGTCTTCACTTTTTCCCATATCTTACAGTCCCATGCATTCCATTTCCGACAGTTGAGCCAAAACAGAAATTAAACATGCTGTCTCAAAGTGTCTTTTGGGTTTTATTTTGTGTTAAAATGTACATTTCTGACCAACATTTTCCACTGATATTTCTAGCGTGAAGCCTAGTCAGTTTTCTAGTCAGAAATCAGTTTTACGACATGGCCTCTAGTCACTGAATCATAAGTCAGCTGCTGAACCAACAGATGGCAATAAAAGTGTTGGAATAAAGAATAAAGCTGTGCTGGCCAATCAGAAAAGAGATAAGTGTGCAAACTGATGCCTTGAGGCCAAAACTTACTTGAGTTATCAGAACGTGTCCGATTCATTCACCTGATACTGCATTTTGTGTGGACGAATGACCAGTTTTTAAAATACCTGTTTTTGTATGGACAGGGCCTGAAGTGCAATTATTGCCTCTAATTTTAAACGGAAAGAGCACAGACAAGGCCTTACATTTGTTAATATGAAGAGATTTCTTTTATTTGTCAAACCTATTTGATTTGGGGTTTGTCTGAAAGATTCAATTTCATTTTGTTATATTATTTCAGTGTTATATTCCAGCTTCACAAAGAAACGTAGCAACAGTGTAATGAAAGGACACCTCTTAATTCATTTTATAGTGTCTTCAATCTCATTTACTCAAAAAAAAGAAAAAAAAAAGAAAGAAAAACCTTGATAAAATCAAATTGTGAAATCACAAATCGTGAACCACAATGTATCATGTTACATCCTTGTGGATTTTGCATTTAGTAAAAGTTGGTCATGAAAATTCACCCTGTTATACATCTTAAAGATGCTTAGTTGCTGTGTGAGCAGTAATTCACGCTACACTATTTTATTGATAATAAATAAAATGTTACTAACGTGACCACATCTTGCCACTTTGTGCTGAGATGCTTAATTTCTGGTGGGATGTCATGAAAAGCTAGAATGACTGACAGCGGCTGAAATGCTGAGATGCTGTGTCCTCTCTGCAGACTGGAGTGTGCTGTATGTCACAATCTCTTGTTTTGTGACAATCATTTTCATCTTGTCCGTCAGCTGGATCTGCGTCTGCTGCTGTAAAAGGTGATAAAGGGTTTATCGTCATTCACTACAACTTAAAAGTTAGTTTAGGGTCAGATATTGACAAATATCATATTTATATATGTTCAATAAGATATTTTGTTGAGTGCGTTTTTATCTGAGGTACTTATGTGAAGGTCTGTTTTTAGGGAGAAGCGTACCAAAGTAAGAAAGAAAACCAAGTACACAATACTAGACAATATGGATGAACAAGAGAGGATGGAGCTTCAGCCAAAGTACAGTAAGTGTCATGAATGAATGATTAACAGCTGGTTCTGCATTAACTATGTATGATCCACCAATCAGACGATTCCTAACCAACAATAAAGAGCCAGGGTTTCCCACTACAGTCATCTTCGATTTGAAGAATCCCCCCTTCCACCCCTACTCCTCCACCTTTCCCTTCAAAGGGTTACAGGGTGGCCCAGTGATTAACACTGTTGCCTCACAGCAAGAATGTCACCGGTTCTAGTCCATTAACAGGCCGGCTGTCGTTTCTGTGCGAAGTTTATATGTTCTCTCCTGGGATAGCATGCCAAACTTGCTCTTTATCAATCAAAAACTAAGTGTGAACTCTTGAAAAAACCTTACTAGTAAAAAAAATAACCTAGTAGTAAGATTTCAGATAAGTATTAGTAGCTAATGAATGCATTTAATAGGTACAAGTATTAATTTAATAAGGACTATATAATGCGTAACTAATATCTAGGCCTTTCCCAGTGATGGGTTGCAGCTGGAAGGGCATCCGCTGTGTAAAACATATGCTGGATAAGTTGGCGGTTCATTCCACTGTGGCGACCCCTGATTAAAAAAAGGAACTAAGCCAAAAAGAAATTGAATGAATGAATAATATCTAGGCCCACATGAAATCTGCACGTGCAGATTTCCACTGATTTTTTGCCCATCATTAAGCCTATTTATTTACTTGTGTAAATTTATATTTCTTCAGTTTTAAAATTAATTACAGTAATATTATTGACTAATATGAAAATATTCATTTACAATACAGTTTGTAAAGTAATATTTTCTATCTATTATATGAGTGACTTGCTTTGTTTAAGAACAACAAGTGGATCTAATTGGATTTGCATTGTAAACATAAAAAAAAAAAATTAAAATGGTAATATGTTTCATATAAAGGGCGATTCAAAAAGAACCTGTCCACCAAGCCCTCCTGTTCTTTTCCTCCTCCTGCTTTGAGCAGATGTTTAGCTGAAATAAAAATCTGACTTTCAGCTAACTTTTTAAAATTAAACAGCGACAAAAGCCCTTCTCATCGGCACTAAAAGTGTTTTGGATAAAGCAGATCATTTCACTATAGACATTGATAACAGTACAATTTTTCCCTCCATGCAGGTAAAGAGTTTGGGTGTCATCTTGGATAGCACACTCTCATTTGAAGGTCACATTAATAATATTACACGTACTGCATATTTCCACCTGCGTAATATCACTCGTCTCCGCCCTTCTCTCACAACTAATAACACAGCCATTCTTATCCACGCATTAGTTACTTCACGTCTTGACTACTGTAATGCACTTCTTTCTGGACTTCCTTCCAAACTTCTCCATAAACTCCAACTGGTTTAGAACCATGCAGCTCGTGTCATCTCTAGGACCCCATCTCACGAGCACGTCACACCACTCCTCTATCAGCTTCATTGGCTTCCAGTAAAGTATCGAATTGATTTTAAAATATTACTTCTAACTTTCAAGGCACTTCATAATCTCGCTCCTCAATATCTCACTGAACTTCTCCATATCTACACCCCTTCTCGTACCCTTAAGTCAGCCAACAATTTCACCCTGGCACCACCTCGCACTCGACTGAGCAAAATGGGAGACAGATCTTTTAGTTCTATGGCTCCTAGGCTATGGAACTCACTTCCAGTAGATCTTAGGAGCAGTGATAGTCTTCACAATTTTAAATCACGTCGAAAGACCCATCTTTTTAAGCAGGCTTTTACTTAACAATTTTTTATCATGTTTTTATTATGTTCTTTTATATTCGCTATTGCGTTTTAACTTGTTTGGTCAATGATTGTTTTTAGTAAGGTTTAAGTTGTTTAGCATGTCTGCTGATGCTTACTGTAAGGCGACCTTGGGTGTCCAGAAAGGCGCCATTTATAAATAAAATGAATTATTATTATTATTATTATTATTACCACAAGTTTCGGGTTGATATCGCTCAAGCGTCTGGAGGGGGTCATATTTACCTTTAAGTACTCTTCACATTGATTAATTACCCAAAGTTCCATCATGTTTCTTTAATTAAATACAGATTTTTGAAGTCATAGTATTCTTTTTGAATCACCCTGTATTACATTTTTAGTTACAATACTTCCAAAATCATTTCGCATAAATCTAGATAGATTCTGTCTGGCCCTATAATATCTAATGAATAAATATAATAATGTTAGAGATTAAAAATATTGTCTTAATAGGTGAGTAGAAAAAAAATATTGCTAGAATCTAATAATTTAAGGCATAGTTGACTCAAAAAAATGGACATTTCCTCTCATTCAAGTGGTATATATATAGTTTTTTTTTTTAGTTTGGCTAGAACAAAAGCTTCTCTTTTACATTCATTAAAACAGTTTTTAAAGTCAATATTATTTGTTTCCCCTATTTTTCTTCTTTGATTTATTACAGAATATATCATTGTTCAATGACTTGCCTATTTAACCTAGTTCATCCCTTGAATGGCAATTTAAGCTCAACTACATTGTAAAACAAATAATCTAAAAATATGATATACTGTCATCATGACAAGACGAAAGAAATGAGTATGAGAATAGATATAAAAACAAAATAGATATTAAAATTATTGTTTAAAAATGTTGGAAAAAATAATAATTGAATTAAACTAAGTTTTAGTATACACTCAAAAAATGACTTATGCTGCTTGTTAAAACTATTTATTTTTAAATGAGTTAAAACAACACAATTCTTAAGTTGTTTTTGGGACAACCTAAAAAAAACATTAAGTTAACTTAATAAATCTGTGTTGGGACAGCATGAAGGAATCGTGTGTAACCCAGGATTTTTTTTTTTTTTTTTTTTTGCAGTGTGGGTGTAAAAATGGAATACATAAGTCAACTGAATATTCCACCAAATACTGCTTTAACTTTTACTGCTAATATTGCTAAATTAAACATTGCAATTGTGTTATCTATAAACTAATATTACTATCAGAAAATCTTTTTTTGTGCAAAAAATAACAAAACAAAACAAAACTTAAAATTACAATTTACCACTTTGGAAAATCTAGACATATTCAGAGGCTTGTATTGTCCAGACGCCAAAGCTGTAAAACTGAAATAACTTTTTGTGTGTGTGTTTTGTCCTCTTCAGACATTAAACACAGAAGCACAGAGCACAACTCTAGCCTGATGATGTCTGAATCAGAGCTGGACAGTGAACAGGACAACATTTACAATTACGGGAGAGTCCAAAAAGCTCATAACAGAATCAGAAACGGAGACACTCTCAGCCTTTGCCCTGTGGAGAGTTGAGTCGCATGGACAAAAGGACATTTCTTCATCGTGGATACTTGCAGCACAGGGGTATTGCTGAATTTACCACTAATACAAAGACAGACAGAATTGAATGGGTGGCTAAACTTACCTACTACTGAATGCAGTTGGTATTGTAAAAACAACAACAAAACTGGTTTGCAGTAAGATACATCTGGACCTTAATTACTAATAGCATAATCCGCTTCAACATATAAAAAAGTCTTTGCATTCAACTCTATGCGTTTAAAAGTGCTTGTATGTTCAGTAATTGTTTTGTTATTTCTAAGATGCTCCGATCATAACCTTTGGGGAGATTCTGCAAAATAACTGATACATATAAAAGCAAAACGATGCTGTTCTTCTTTATGCAAAATCCTTTTATTTGTACTGAACTGTTTGAACTTTAATGTGCCTGACTGAAATGCTTTTATTTTTTTGAGATTTTGGTCTTGTCCTTGATTTTGAACACTGCACTGTGTCTTTTAGTGGCCTGGTTTTACAAACTTTACAAATGTCTGCTTTAGCTGGAATTGCAATCGAAGCCATTTGCCCCAGACATATTCTTTTAGTTTGTTTTAATGCAGCTGGAGATACACAAATATTAAAGAATAAAAAATACAGCCTTTTATAGAACCAAAAAAAAGAGTTCAGTTTTTATGAAACCAGTGTCACTAATGTAATGAATCTGGGATCATGTGAATAACAGTGTGTAAAATGTCATATTAATCTAATTTTTACAGAGGCTTTGTGCTGTATTTTCTTTGTACCCTTGTGTGTGTATCAGACAGAGAAGTTCACATTTAAGGTAAGAAAATTAATATATTTCTAAACATGTTCAATTGTATGACAATTAACAACACAATTATACACAACAATACAATGTTAAACAAGAATTCATATTTACAACAATTTGAAAAATATAACAGAAGATGGGATTTCATTAAAAAAACAAAAACAAATTGGCACTTATAACATTTGGCCACAATGACAAAGTTAACTTACTAGACAAATCTCGTTTTCGTATCAAGTCAGAACAATTTATATCTGTAAACATTATATCCCACCAGTCAATTCATTTATCATTAACAGGCTCGCTCTATTTCTAATTATAAAAATAGAACACTTAGTAAATTAGAAACATTTAAATCCATGCACATTTTAGTTCCTAAATATGCACAACAAAATTAATCATATTTTTGTTTGTTTTTCTATCCAGAATTAAATGGGTAAGGAAATATAAACTAGATACCAAATATATCTTTTCTGAAAAACAATAACACAAAATTTAACAGTGTTTGTTTTAGGGATGTTTTTACTTAAACATTATTTCAGTTATTTAAGAACAATGTGAACTCTTCTACAGTATGTTCTTATGGACAGAATCTCAGAGGACTTTTTTTAATAGCATATATCTAAGGGCCTGTTTCCACTGAGTGGTTTGCATGCTTTTATGGCTTCCACTGTCAAAACGTACCTAACAGCGAATCATACCATACCACTTATCAAATGAGTAGGGCCAGACAGAATCTGCAGGCATTTTTTGCTAATTCTGTAGAGAATTTTGTTAAAAATCAATTTTTTCTATTTATGCGGAATGATTTTGTAAGAATCATAACTAAAAACTTTAATATGTGAAATAAAACATATTACATTTTAAACTTTTATTTAATGTTTACAATGCAAATCCAATTAGAGTCACTTTATTTGGTAAACAAAACCAGTCTCTTATTTATTATATCTACTAAAAGACAGAAAATATTACTTTACAAACTGTTTTGTAAATTTATCATGTGAATATTTTCATATAATTCAGTAATTTTACTGAAATTAATTAAAAAACTGAATAAATACAAATTTACTCTAGTAAATAAACAAAATCAATGATGAGCTAAAAATCTGTGGAATTCTGTGCAGATTCTGTGTGGGGCTACCAATGGGTACCTAGCACAACAAAAGGGTACCAAAAGGTGGAGCAAAATGTGCAGCTGATTGCTATTAGTTTACAGAGATATGTCACTAGTGCGTACACAAGCCAGAGGAATGAAAACTAAGGAAGCGCCATTTTTAAATACACATCGTAGACATTACACTGTAATAATATGTACATATAATAATGAGCCATGGTCAACCTGAGCTCAAACAAACCTTGTCGTCATCTTGATGAACAGCCACAAAGCCAAAAAGAACAAAACCTGCCATGCTCAGTTTTTGAGGCCGTCTTAAAGCACGAGCGGTTTCACTTTTTCAATAGAGCTCGCGTGCACTTCTAAATTTGAAATAAACTTCTTGAGCTGATTAAAATAACGTCTGCGAGACTAAATGCATGCCGTGTGTAGTTTTTCGGTAATTGAAAACATATTGGAGACTGTAAGGGTCTGTATGTGTTCATATATGTTGCATTTATTTATTTATTTTATATAATTACAGACTTTAGAGTAAGCTATTTTGCACTAAAATCATTGATCTGAAGTTATAAATCAAATCATATTCATAGAAAGGTTAGTAATGAACATTTACACATTTTATGTGTATAAAGCATCTATTTGAGAAGTGCTTCTTATATGATATGTGAACAACCCTTACAGCTTTACTTTAAACATTTCCTCGAGCAAGAATGATGTCGACTAAAACTTTGTTGTACACCACGCCCACCATAAGGGTACGATTGGTACCCTTTTGGCAGTGGAAACATAAGCCTGATAAAGGTATCGTACCGTACCTCTCAGTGAAAACGGGCCATAAAGTACATCATCGTCATTTCCATATACTGAATAGTAAGACTAAAAGTGGGAATGATACACAGTGTTTTTCTGTAACTGCCATTGTTTTCAAGAGAGTCCCCCCAAACACATGTACTTGATTTCCAGATACTCATCAACGCCATATATGGATCCTTCTCTGCCCAATCCGGACTGTTTGATTCCTCCAAAAGGGGCTTCGGTGGTGGAGATCATGCCTTCGTTGACCCCGACCATCCCCACCTCCATCTGCTCTGCCACCCGCCAGATCTGAGCCATGTCCCTGGAGTAAAAGTAACCTGGACAAACAAAACGAATGAGAAAAGGCAACTAGCTGTATTCATTTACTTTACTTGCAGCCCTCTAATGGGGTGAATTCAATGAGGCTGAAGGGGAATGTGATATTTCTGGCCCTCCAAAAATATCATAATTCTTTCTATAAAATGGAGCAATATAATTTTTTGAAATTTGTCAAATTTGTTTAGACTAGGGCTGCACATTATAGTGAAATTTTGTTATTGGGATAGTGGTATATGCAATATCTCTATCAAAGCGGTAATTTTAATTTACTGTGTGTGCTACTTGTGTGTTGCATGTGTAGGTAGTTTACCCAAGTCTAAACAATCAGATGTGACCTGGCTATCTTTATACCCGCCTCTCCAGTAGGTGCTTTTTTACTATTGGCTAGAGTGGTGCAAAATGAACCTAGATCTTCAGAGCAGAGAGCTGAAAGTACATACTAATAACAGGAGTTAGGCCAAGTGAGGTTTCAGTAATTTATAGTGTTTTAAAATCTAAATGTTAGCACTTTGACAGTTTATTTGTTTTTTTTTTTAGATTTAATTAGATCTGAAAAATATCTATTTTTGTATGAGTAATAGCTAATAAAAATAGCATTTCTCTAGGGCAGAGATGCCCAAACTAGGGCCCACAGGCCAAAGTTGGCCCATGGTAACCTCTGCTTTAGCCTGCCATCCCATCTGAGAAGAGAGGGAGAATGATGGGGATGCTTTAGAGATTGTCATTTTAAATTTAATGTAACCTTTTATTTGTTTGTTTTAATGTTAAGCTACAAAAAAGCAAACTGAAGTTAAACATTTAAACTTTAATGGTGTCAATTAATCAGATTTAATTTAAAATGTAAGGCAGATTCTGCTTGACTAGTGTATTCACCATTGAATTCCACTGTGCTATAAATGTGACTGCCTATGTTTTTATTGCAATAATTATAATTTAAAAAGATACTGCATTAGGAATTATGATTCAAAGTAATGTTTACTGTTTATTTTTAAATATAAGGAAATTATCATGGCAACTTTAAATGTAAAATAGTTTGGTATGTTCATCTTCAGCCCACAGCTACTGTATCAATGATATTTGTTTTTTGGCCCTTCATATGAAAAAGTTTGGGCACCCCTGATCTGGGGAAATGTTAAAAATCGCAAGACATATAATTATTGTAATATTCAACAACAACTGCATATTTTTCCAGTATTGTGCAGCCCTAGTTTTGACAATGTGTTTTGAATAGAATAGCTTTAAATGAATGATAAAGGGCCTTGTACACCAAATCTGCATTCGTGCAAAACTACTTTGATGTTTTTATTATTATTTAATATAATAAAATATTGAAAATATTACATAAATACTGTTATTTTATTTTATTTTATTATTACTATATATAATACTTTTATATCCTACACCATCTATATAATGATTGGTTAATTTGCCAAATTGTGATTAACTATCTAAATTCTAATGTTATCAATTGTATGAGACTTTCAATCAGTTGCTAATTGTCTTACAGTAGCATGTTCGGTAAAAAATAAACAGACAACTGCAACAATTGCAACAAAACAATTGCAACAAAAACTTGAAAAAAAAAAAAAAAAAAAACGTCTTACAAAAACATGATTTATTTGCACAGATGGACAAACCTGCTAAACCAACAGGAGAAGCATTGGCAATGGCAAGTGCCTCCTGTTCTGTGTTGAACCTGGCGAAGAAAAGAAACAAACAAAAAAACATCAGCAGCTGGCAGAATCAATAAGATGAAATGTTACCCATTAATAATATTATACTATAATAAACATCATGCTCTTTGTCATGTTGACCTTTAAGGTGCGCAATGAGATTAGCAATGTTAATTTTTTTAGCCTAAGTTCCAGCTCTAAAAAAAAAAAAAGTATTTTCCTGCCATTTGATTTGCAGGATATATTAGGACATGTATAACCTGTGATGCTTATTTTTTTTTATTATTCTGAGACTAAATAAAGACTCTGTACAACTGGGTTATACATAAAGCAGCTACAACACATGATGAGGTAAATGACAGCAGCTAAAAGGCATACAGATGCAATGCAACCTCTGTTTATACAGTTTATTAGTGCGACTCACACGAGTGATGGATTCTCTTTGGTAACAACCATTGTATATCTATATATAGTATATATTTTAAGCTGCTGTGATGCAAGTAGGTCGATTGCACCTATTTAGTGTCTCATCAAACTGTGTGACCCCTCGCAGAAGCTCCATGAGTCTTCCGCATATTCATACCAGCTTTGTGACAATTAAAATACCCCACAAATCATGCTGAAGAAAATGAACGAGCAAGAGAACAGAATGCAAGAGACATGTGTAAGGGATAATATTCAACATCCTTCATTTATTCTCTAGGAGATCTCCACTTAAATATCATACTTAGAGGAAAATTGTGCTTTGTGCATTATACAGCTTAAAGCACCAGAATCCGTACACAATATCAGCCGATCACCATGACAAGGAATCGGTACTTAGTATTGGCAATAAAAATGCTGATCAGAGCATCCCTAATGTGACTGTAAAGTACAAAATTCAATTCGAGTAAACGCACTGGATGAAAACAGTAGCAAATTATTTACGCAAAATGACATTTTCTTATACAAGTTACATCTGCAACTTTGGGTAGAAACATCTAAAAGCTACATAATAATATTGTGAAGTTATATAAATTAAAAAAACACTCACTTAACAACTGGAATAAGAGGTCCAAAGGTCTCCTCTCTCATACAGAGCATGTCAGAGGTAACGTTGGACAGCAGCGTCGGCTCCATGAAAGAGCCCTGCAGTCTCTTTCCACCTCGAACTACGACCGCTCCATGATCCACAGCGTCTGCAACCTGCTTCTCCACCTGAAACAAACACCACCATTAAACTCAGCAGCTCAATATCCCTGAGAGTGGCAGAATATTTTACTCCTCCGTCTGATCTGAAACCCATTCATTTGTGTACATATACAGAAAAAGGTGGAATGACACAACTAGACCATTTTAAGGGATGTAAACAATATCAATGGTCCTAATGTATTTCCTGTATTCAATATTTAATTTCCAAAGCTTCCAAAAATCCAAAAAGGTGCACATATCGATAAATAATATTATGGCAGCCATTTTAACATTAAGATACGATTAAATTGCATCTCGTCACAGTTATGAAATAATTTAGCAACAAGCAGGTAATGTCCATGGGCCAGTGACATCACCACATTGAAATGTTGTGTAAATGAAAAACTGCAAGAGATAAACCCAAGCATATATGATTTTTGATGATGACGATTTTCAAATTGTAGTTTTGAGACTATGACCAAACCAATTACACTAGATGGCTGAATTGGTCACTCTAGGATATCGCATTTATGTTTATTGAATGACGCACCATTAATATCATTCGTTACAATGTGAAATTTTAAAGAGTATTTGAAAAGATTTTCAGGTAAAACTTTATTTTGATGCATTTGAGTATTAGTAGACTGTCTGCTTAATATCTGTTCAACAGACATTTAACTTACACTAACCCTAACCCAAACCTAACAGTCTACTTATAATCTAATAAGAATTAGTTGCAATGTAACAAATTTAATAAACGGACCATCAAAATAAGGTGTGACCGATTTTTTTTATAACGCAGGCACTCTGATGGATGTTTTTTTTTTTTTAATGTACCCAGGAGGAAATTTAAGCTATTTATCATATATCGAACTGAAAATTCATATCTTTATTGGTCATTATTATTTTTGCATCAAATTATGAAGTTTTATTATGTATTTATGTAATGTTTTATCTGTATCAAAGAACTTGCCATGAAATAGTCATAAGTTGCTGAAGTGGCAATAAATAAACTAACAAACAGACAAAAACTCACTGGCTCAACCAAATTTCCAATATAAATTTAAACCAGAATTTATGCAGGCAGCCTCAACATTTGTTACAGATTGGAAAAACGGAACACAGAATTAAACTGTCAGAACAAATTCATCTTCATAACGTGAGATGACTAGATCATGTCAGATCAAAAGGTACAGAGATTACAATCATCCAAAACTAACTGACGACTGTTGTGTATTTATTTATTTCTTTATGTTTTAATGCCATATCAGCAGCATTGGCTTTATTCATCGCAACACTTGAACTAATTATACTAATATATTGCATTTAATATATAATTTACAATCAAAACTGTTTCTTAATCAATTAATTCATTGCACAATAAATAATTGATTAATTAAAAAATAAATGATTAATTAATAATAAAAGCGGCGACGCAGTGGTGCAGTAAGTAGTGCTGTCGCCTCACAGCAAGAGGGTCATAGGTTCGAGCCTTGACTCAGTTGGCGTTTCTGTGTGGAGTTTGCATGTTCTCCCTGCGTTCGTGTGGGTTTTCCTCCGGGTACTCCGGTTTCCCCCACAGTCCAAAGTCCATAGTGTATGAGTGTGTGTGAGAATCCCAGAGATGGGTTGCAGCAGGAAGGGCATCCGCTGCGTAAAAATGTGCTGGATAACTTGGGGTTCAATCAGCTGTGGCGACCCCGGATTAATTAAGGGACTAAGCCGACAAGAAAGATGAATGAATGAATTAATAATAATAAAAAACAACACAGATAAAAAGGCATAGAAATTGTTTGTTTGATTGATAACAATTCTAAAATTCCTCCAATTTTTCCCCTTAAAACATTTCCTAAATAAAAATGTTCTCTACTATAATTTATATATACATTCTATTCAAATGTTTTATCGTCAAATATTCTTACACAAATCACACATTTTTTCCCCCCCTTTCAATAAATATGCGTGTGCAAGTCTTGTACTGCCTGATCGTGTCTATTTTTTAAAACAGTACATTTTTTTCATTTACAAATTGATTCCAACTGTTAGTAAAACAATTTTACACAACTATCAATACTTTGCTGGTTCAACCTCAATCTCAATGATTCTCCTGTGCTGCCGGAAAATTTTTTAAATAAAATTTGTCACTGTTTACTTTTATTTTGCCATCCACTCTTACATAAATAAACTATAGTTTTCTGCACCCAATAGTAAAAAAAAAAAAATCATATTTAATCAGATGTCTAAGTCGTGTGTTTGGCCTGTATGCTTGTGTTGCAGAGTGACTTGAATGTTTGCATCCACCAGAATCATAAGTTGCTGTATCTGTTGTTCCCATGATGCACCTTTTCTGCGGCGCGTGAGTTGATAAGAGGCCCCTGTGTGGTGCTGGGCTCGGATCCGTGGCCAAGCTTCAGCTCTGCATCCATAGTCTTCGCCAGCTTCTCCACGAAAGCATCATGAATGCCAGTCTGGACCAAAAAGCGGTTGGAGCACACACAGGTCTACAGAAAAGATGCATTACAGGTGAGAAATGAAGTGGAGATGCTTATGGTTATAATAATGCAATATACCTTCAGGTACTTGCCTTGTTACAGAAACATGATGAGTACTTGCAAGTTCAATATATCATATATTAAAGGGATCATTTTACCTCTCAAAAAGCTGTATATAATTACCATTTACTTGGTTCCAAACCTGTTAGTTTTTTATTTATTTATTTTTTTTTTTTTTTCTGTTGAACACTATAAAAGATATTTCGAAGCATGTTAGAAACTGGTAGTGATTAATTAAAACAGGAAAAAATAAATACTATGGATTAGGGCTTGGCCGATAAACAATATTACATCGCTTAGCAATAAAATTTATGTGAATAACAATGATAAGCTCTGGACTTTATTTTACTCTTTATTAATCTAAGAGCCAATCACACAGCGGAAATGTGCAAAAATGGAAATTTAGAAGTGTTGAGGTTAGAAATAGATCAGCCACCGAAATTAGGTTATGCTATTTAAAGAACCCTCTAACTTGTGGCTTCAGTCATTGTTGGGGTAATCTTAAATCTGGAAGAATTAACAACTGATATTGAAATGTATATTGTTGTTGTTCAATATGGAAAAGAATTAATAGAGATTGCATTTTTGCCATATCGCCCAGCCCTACTATAGAAGTCAATGGCTACTGATTTTTAACATTCTTCAAAATATCTTAATTTTCATTTAAGAGAAAGAATAAATAATCCAGTAATTGGTGGTTCATTCCACTGTGGCGACCCCTGATTAATCAGGGATTAAGCTGAAGGATAGAATGAATTAACTGTTTTTTTCAAATGAAGGTTAAGTAAATGGTCATAGATATACACTAGATATCGCATAGGGACCCTGAGCATGCGTCAATAGCCACATTGGTACAGTGCTCCCAGGACAAATGTCATTCAACCGCACTAGTCAAGACTGTGCTTTATTTTCTTTTTTTGCTCGTTACTACACCCGTAGACAGCGCTAAAGTCCCGCATCTTCACTTAATAACACTAAGGCTGAACATTTCATAGGTAATATTAAGTTTTTTTCTGTTTTTGTATGTTCTGAACTTTTGTGCTAATCAGGTAACGTTATTGATGAAAACAGTCACTTTCTGCATTCACCATAAGGCAAAGCAGCTCCAACTTGCACTAAACACTTGGCTTATGCTAGTTTTGTTGAATAAAGCCGACATTATATAAAATTATATCATATAAAAATTTTATTAACTACCACATAATTAAATATAAATGCCTTTTGGGGTTAACTTATTAATTTAAACTATAATATAATTTATAATAAAATATACTAATGTAATTTAAAATGAACATGCTGTTACACTAATTTAATTATTTATCATGTCAGTAAAATTATTATTTAGTATAAAGTAAAAAAAAATACACTACTTCAATTAATTAAAAACAAATTTATTAACATTTAAATTTGTGGTGAATTATTATCAGATAAATAAATAATCTGTTACCTAATGTTTCAGCAATTTTTTGAAATAAATTCCAAGCATAAATAAATAAGCAATGGTGCAAGATTGAAACAGCACTTACTTGTCCTGAGTTTCTGAATTTTGAGCCCATGGCTCCTGCAACAGCTTTATCTACATCAGCGCTGTCAAACACAATAAAGGGAGCATGTCCTCCCAATTCCATGGAGACCCTTTTCACAGTTCCTGCAGCATGTCTTAATAAAACCTGCATATAAAATGTTTGCTTAAATTATTAGCAAATTATTCATTATAACAGTGAAAAAAGTGAACAATGTTGACTGCACATAGCAGCCTATTGTCCAGAGTGGATGTTTACCTTGCCAGTGGCTGTGGAGCCGGTGAATGAGATTTTGGCTACTAGAGGGTCTGTGCAGAGCAGCTCTCCCACAGCGGGCGTCTTCTCTCTTGAACAGGGCACCACGTTAAACACCCCAGCAGGAATGCCAGCCTGAACCGACAGCTGCAGAGGAAGACAACATTCAGAAATTTGGAGTCAGTATTTTTTTTTTGAGTAGTCTTTATGCTCACCAAAATAATGTCTTAAAATAGAAATTAAGTTATCTCTAGCTGAACTGCTGAATCAATGTCACATATCAAAAATTATTCTGATTTGTTGATTTTTATGAAACGGGTAAATTGTTGTTTTGCTCAACACTGTGTTCTATTCAGACATTTTTAACAATTGTTTAATTATAATGAAAGCTTGGACAACAGTATCCAGACCTTGACAGCAATAATCTCATGTACCCATAATGTTTTTTTAATGTAAAAATATTTGACATACGTTTAAACAACCTTCATCTTTTTAGCTACAGTTGATAAATTATATAAGATCTTAAAATGAGTTAAAGGTAAACTTAGAGCTGCACAATATGGCGTTTCAGCATCGATATCGCAATGTAAAAGTCTGCAATAGCCACATCACAAGGATCTGCAATGTAGTTGGAACTTACTTTACAGTTAACATAGTGGAGTAATTTCACATTTTAACCTTAGAGTGAAAGTTTATTATTTGAATGTGTTTCAAGACCTGACTGTATGAATTTAAAGCTATTTGGGCAAAATAAATGAAACTAATTAAGTTTGTGGCTTAAAGGTTAATTGTACATTATATAATTATTCACTCAATTAAAATGATACAGTGTTATTTTTAAAATTATACATGGTGATTATTTAATTTCTGCTTCTGAACATTGCTCGACTCCCCAGAAAACCACAAGTTGTTTATTTGCATCTTTTCTCTGTTGTATTTAAAGGTGCTGTATGAAAGTTTTTGACTCTTCTAAAGAATACAAATACCATAATATGTTTGCAGAGATTTAAGGAAACATGCTAAGTGAACATTCTTGTTTATCTGAAAAATAATGCTAAAGTCAGATATTCTGCTTGAAATGTGTTTTCTGTGCCAGAATGCTGTCTTTGTTTTGGTTCTTTTAACCCGCCTAGATCTGAGGTGAACTATCTGCTGCTTCTTTCAGTAGTATGACAGTAAATGTCAGGTAAATGGAATTTAAACTCACGTTATTAGCATTTAACTCTGATTAAAGCACATGAGGCATACCTGAGGTGATCATGGTCAAAGTTTTCTGTTGTTTACCTATGAGAGCCGTTTCTAATATATCAATTCGAGGTGATGGTTCGGACAAAAACTCCTTTTAATATGGAAAATATTTCTTCTATATGGTGCCGTTGCTTTTATTTAGAACATGTTTTAAAATCAGCCTTTAGGCTCGATGACTTACTCCTGTTAGTCATCTGGCAACCTGCACTATTGGGGGGTTTGTTTTGATCCAGGAATGCAATCCACTGGGTGTCAAACTTGCATAATGCGCCTTTAACTTTGCTTGTCATTTTTCTAAATGATAGATTGTGGAGATCGATCTACAATTATGAATTATTTCTGTGAATTATTATTATCTATTTTCTATATCTGCTGAAATTGCATTTGTCACAATGTATATCGCAATGAATGAAAATTATGCAATGTCAGTATTTTTTTTTTCCAATATCGTGCTGCCCTTGGTGAACTATCCCTTTAAGTAGGATTCAATGGGTACAGACTGACCTCAGCGAGGGCCAGTGCAGAGAGAGGCGTATCTTCAGCCGGCTTCACCACTACAGTACAGCCCACTGCAAGTGCAGCCCCAACCTTCCTGGTTATCATGGCGCTTGGGAAATTCCACTGTAAAGAGGGTAAACTTCACTGAAAGCTGACAGTATTAAAGAGGTCATGAAATGGGAATTCAAAGTTGCCCTTAGTGTGAAATGTAAGAGATCTTTACTCTGTTAAAAATATCCCGCAAGTCTAATGCCTAAAACATCCTCCTCATGATAAACAAACCACCAATAATTAAGCAGTAAAGGGGCTCATAGGGGACTTTGTAATAATAGATTTTTTTTACTTAGACATTATAAGTGAGCCTCAAGGAGCCCAATAAAAAAAAATGTAATCCATATCCATGACACTCTTCATGAAATCTCACAGATGCTAAAGCATGAAGATGTTGTTATTAAAACAAATAAGGCATTCTCACAGGTGTAATGATGGAAGCCACTCCAACTGGCTGCTTGAGGATCAGGATCTTGCGGTCTTTGGCTGGAGCCGCGACGATGTCTCCATACACACGCCTGGCCTCTTCAGAAAACCACTCCAGAAAAGAGGCAGAGTACGTCATTTCACCAAGAGACTCCTTCATGGGCTTCCCCTGCACACACGTACAGTGTCTCTTAATATCTTGATGCTTGTAAATGGGTAAGTGAAGTGGTTGTAATCGGGCAGTGTACTTACACATTCTGCTGTGATCAACTTGGCAAGATCTTCCCTGTGCTGAATGATCAGATCAAACCATTTTCTCAGCAAAATACTTCTTTCCTGCAAAGAGCATACAACTTTCAATCATGATGAATAAAGTTCAAATTTAAATACATGCATAATTGTATTTGTTAAAATTATGGTAAAAAAATAATAAACAGTAATATAGTATATTTATTAGAATATTTTACTAACATAGAAGAGTAACAGGATATTTTATAATTCTATGATGCTGATTTGGTTGCTCAAGAACTGTTTTACTGCTTATTTTATGGACAGAAAAAAAATTTTAAAATGTTTTTTCACAATAAGATACTTAAAATTATATTTGAGGAATGTATAATTAATAAATATTTTATGTAGTTTTAATGTTTTCATATTTTTTTAAATATTGATATTATAATTACATTTTTCCCTTTCAAAACTGGGAAAACGTGCTTTGTTATAAATATGCTTTGCATTAAAAGTGGCTTTACTCAAAATAATGGTTGAATTAATGGAATTTATCAGGTTGCAGATGTTTGTTTTTCCAGATATCCGAGTACCATAGTTAAATAAATACCACGCTATATATTAAAGCATAAAGAAACTACAATATAACACCAGATCGTTTTGGCATTTTAAAATAATACGTACCTTGGTACCTTCTTGTAAACAATTATGTGTCAAATGCAGTTTTGCATATAAGTAACGTGTCCATAAGCAGCTCACCTTGGCCGTGTGGTTCTTCCACAGGTTAAAGGCTTTGTGCGCGGCGTTGACAGCGTCCTGAGCCTCTTTTGTACCGCAGTCCGAGACTTTGGCGATCTCCTCTCCGGTGGCTGGATCAAAGACGGGGAAGGAGGAGGCCGCGGACACCCAGCGCCCGTCTATGAAGCCTTCAGTCCGCAGGAGCGACGCGGACACATCGAGGCTGTACGGCCGCTGCAACTGCACCATGCTCGGTAAGCCAGTTAACACCTGCCGGAGGACACACCGACCTCTTGAGAGACATAAACTGGCCATGATAAACAATGACACACTCCTATATCTATAAATATATAGATATGTATGTGCAGGAGGAGCTTAGTCCAGTGAAAGAACGAGAGCAGTCGCTCTTAACATGCGATTTTAAACTCGTTTGTAGCAATTACATTCTCCTCTCGACTGTTTATGTATGCGAGAGAAGATTCTCGGTTATTAATTTCCGCTAAACACGTAGTTCTTTCGACTGCTTATGCATGCAACTCTGCGTTTCACTCACTGCAAACTGCAAAGCAGGAAATGTCAACACTCTAGTGTTGATTGGCGACGTTAGCGGCGTCCGATTCATGAATGAATCACTTTTGAACCGAATCGTTTGAGTGAACTGAGTCAGTCAGGGGAGAAACCATAGGGAGAAACGAGAATCGCCCCCAAACGGCACACTCCGGATTCACGAATTCTGTCCTCTGATCACGTGATGTAGTGTATACTCAGTGCACCCTGGTGGAACTCGAGTCCCAAAAATAGTTAAATAAAACAGGTCCTGGACCCCCGTTGATCTCATCCTGCAAGAATGTTGCAGACGCATAGGGCATTAGAATATAATGACTGTAATATAATAATGCCTAGGTACAGGCCTACTGCATATTCGTTTTTATGATGTTTTTTTCTCGATTTATATAAAACTAATTTCACAATATTCCTAAAACCTATAAATATAGATGATATATATCACTGCTTATTGTGCTGTTTTGGAAAAATTGTGAAATTAGTTTTTATGTGTATGCATCAATTCAAGACCGGTGAGGACTGATGCATGACAGAGACATTTGGCGCCATCGTCCGGTATTTTCAAAATTTACCCAATAGAGCTATGGGGGAAACAATAATAACCACTTACATTTTTTGTTTCTCTGGATGTACTGGATTTACTGAAACAGATGGAAAAAATAATAATATTCACGAGTTTAGAACACTAAATTTGGCCCATATTGACACACATGTGCAGGGTGCTGTAGCCTCACAGCAAGAAGGTCACTAGTTTGAGCCTCAGCTGGTTCAGTTGGCATTTCTGTGTGGTGCTGTCTGTGCTCCGGTTTCCTCCACAAGTCCAGACACATACGCTATAAGTGAATTGGATAGGCTATAAATTGTCTGTAGAGTATGTGTGTAAATGAGTGTATGGGTTGCATCTGGAAGGGCATCTGCTGTGTAAAACATATGCTGGACAAGTTGGCAGTTCATTCTGCTGCGACGACCCCTGATTAATAAAGGGACTAAGCCAAAAAGAAAATGAATGCATGAATGAATGGACACAAAATTTAAAAATGATTTAACAATTTTGTTTGAAAGTATATTTCTTAACTAAGTTGACATAAATAGCACAACATTTCATTACAAAAACCCAACTAAATTTCACATTGTCAGCTGAGCACTCACTCACTCACTCACTCACTCACTCACTCACTCACTCACTCACTCACTCACTCACTCACTCACTCACTCACTCACTCACTCACTCACTCACTCACTATCCCTTGACTAAGTCCCTGATTTAACAGGTGTTGTCACTGCAAAACTGCCCATTCAGTTTTCTATAATTGATGCATGAAAGTTAAAGAATATCAGATAGTAATTCAGAAAAATGTACTACAACTGCTCTACATGCAGCTACACTTCTGGGCTTAGTGGGTCTCCTGTTGCAGCTCTATCTCTGGGCTCAGTGGGTCTTGTGGTGCAGCTCCACTTCTGGGCTCAGTGAGTCTCCTATTGCTGCTCCACCAGTGAGCCCAAGGCAATATGTTAAAATTTAAATCTGAAAATAATTGAGGAACGATTAGATTTTCTGAGGCACACTTAGATTCTCTTTTCTGGCTATCCTAGTCATTTTTACAATTATGATAAAAAATTGGTGAAGTATATGTAGTTCACTATTGTAATGAGTGAAGGAAAAAGAAAACCTTGAATTGAAATCAATCGATCACTCTGATCTTCAGTGACTTATTGAAATCCTTCAAAAGATATGTCATTGATGTAAAACATTTTAAAAACCCATATTTGTGAAACTGAAAAGGCTGGACATATCTAGAACAACTAAAGTTTGAATAAAAGACAGAATTCCAAACCAAGAATTGAAAATATTTCCTTATCCAAGTATTAGTTTTAGTTTATTTAAAATTTTGTAGACATCAAACAACAGTACAGTCAAATTGCATTACGAGTCTGATTCTGTAACCTGCTATTATATCTAGTCTATTTTTTTGAAAAAAAGTTAAATTGTTTTATATTGCATTAAAACATTTATCAAATGTATCAACATGAATAACTAGAGCTTTCATTTATTGCATGCTGTAAAGAAATTAATTTTAACAGAAATTTCAGATATTGGTATATAACTGATTTAACATGAACAAATGAAGTTATAATACTGTAAGTAACCATCAGCATTGATTGTTTTCCATGTTTTTTACAAGTTTCTATTAATTGTGCATGTATTACTACTGTTATTGTTCCTAAAATGTTTATATATATATATATATATATATATATATATATATATATATATATATATATTATAATTTTTTTAATAAACAGAATTTTGTTAAAAATAAATGGTTTTAAAGTTTACCATCACAAATATAGAATCGGTTTTTTGTTTATATGGATAATGTTTTACATAATTCTTGCAAGGATGAACATCAAAGTAATTATTACACAAGTGTTGTTATGCTTGTGACTGCAGTTGCTCAACATGCAGCTTTAACTCTGGGCGCAGTGGGTTTCCTAGTGCTGCTCCACCAGTGAGTCCAAGCCTAGAATTTAAATTAATAGAAAAATCTGTCAATAAATGTGGCACAGCCCGTTTTTCTGAGGAACAAATAGATCATCTGACTATGCTATGAATTTTTGCAATTATAATGTATAAAATGTTTGGAGTTTTTTATGTGGTTCACTATTATGGTAGGTGGAGGAAAAAGAAAACATTGAATTAAAGCTGTCAATGGGATCTTTAGTGATTTTTTTTTTTAAACTCTTTTAAAAGATGTGCCATTTAAGTAAAGAGTTTATAAAACTCAATTTAGTTGGTGGTTCTCCATTTTAAAAATAAAAAGATTTGGACAAATTTAGAACAACTTTTAAATAAAAGTTTGAATCAATTTCAGACAGATTTACATGTCAATAATTGAAAATATTTCCCTATTACAGTATAAATTTGAAAATTTTTAATCAAGAAAATAGAAACTGCTCTTGGTTTATAAAAATGGGGCAGTGTTGTAGTAGCAGTCTTAAGTAAGATTAAAGAATAATTTTAAAAGAATGAGTAATATTGTAAAGTCAGTATAGTACATATATTAGCAGAAGTTACAATGTTGCATTAAAAATATTTGTTGCCTAATGACATCATTAATAGAAGATAGCTGACAGTGAAAGCCATGTGCTATGTGAACCAGACATTGTGAAAACAACTTTGGATTTCGATTTTACCATCACATAAAAGTACTAAACATCTGTTTTAAATCTAGGTAAAGTTTTCCATAATTCATGCATGAAAGAACAACAAAATGTAATTCATAACCGTGTGTTTCTGTACTTGTGACTGCAATAGCTGGATGTGCAGCTCCACCTTTGGGCTCAGTGGGTCTCCTGGTGCAGCTCCCCCTCGGGGCTCAGTAGGTCTCCTGGTGCAGCTCCACCAGTGAGGCCAAGCCAAGAATTGAAAATATATATTTTAAAATCTGACAATAAATGTGTCACAGCCAGGTTTTCTGAGGCACAACTAGACTTTCTGTTCTGGCTACACAAGTGTTTTTTTTTACAGAATTTCAAACCAAGAATACGTTTGACTTTTTTTAGTAGTCTTAAGTTAGGGTAAACAAGGTAAAAAAAAAAAACAAGCAAACAAAAAAATGGTTTCTTTTGTGATCTTAGTAAAGTACATATAGAAGCTTCATTCAATAAAATATTTCCAAAATGACATCATTAATAGTAGATGGCTGACATTGACAGTCATTTCATAAAAAAAAAAAAAAAAAAAACTCATAAAATACCATATTGCCACCTGTGGCTTTATGTCAAATTTTACTCTTTTGTTGCATGATGCCTACATATGTGGACAGTTAAATAATTTTTAAATAAAACAAAATTTAGAAAAAAAATACAAAATTTAGAAAAAAAAACATTCTAATGGATTTTCAATTAAAAATTTTACAGAATAAAGGACTAAAGTACTAAAATAATTTCGAAATCCATAGAGTATTTTCCATTATTCAGGCATGAAAGAACTTTAGATAGTAATTCATAAACGAGTATTTCTGTGCTTATGACTGCAATTGTTCAACGTGCAGCTCCACCTCTGGGCTCAGTGGGTCTTCTGGTGCAGCTCCACCTCTGGAATTGAATTGAATTGAGTCAAGAATTAAAAACATCTGTAAAAAAAATTGACAATAAATGTTGCACAGCTAGTTTTCTAAAGCACCAATAGACATTATTTTCTTGTTTTGCTAGTGATTTTTGCTATTATAATGTATAAAATGTCTGGGGTAGTTTAAGTAATTCACTTTTACAATCAATGGAGGAAAAAGAAAACATGATATTAAAAGAGGTCACTGTGATCTTTAGTGAATTTTTAAACTTCATAAAAGATGTTCTTTTCACATAAATGTATATATATATATATATATATATATATATATATATATATATATATATATATATATATATATATATATATATATATTAGGGCTGCCCCCGACTAAAGATATTCCTAGTCGACTAACATTCCTGCATTTTAGCGATTAATCAAATAATCGTTCATTTATGATATTAATATAATAACTTGCGTATATACTAGGAATATAGTTCAAGTTGAAGTTTAACACTTCCACGTGAAAGAAAATGCTAAAGCATGATACTAGCGCATTTAAAACAAAAATTAAGCGCTTAAAACGGAATAGTAAAGCGTTTAAATACAGTGCTTACACACAAAAATCAGTGACCAGAACGTTATAGGCTAATTATGACATAAAAACAGCAATCAGACTGCCTTTGCATTTTAATAATTTATTATCAAAAAATACAAACTGTAACATTTACATGTCAAACAAACAAACAAACAAAAAAAAAGTTTTTAATAAAATAAACTAAAATTCGTTCTTTAAAATAAATCAAATAAACTTATTAGCAACTTAGGCCTAGTACAAAACTAGGCAAAAAAATAAAAAAATAAAAAAATAAATACTGTAGCAAAAACGCAGTTTGGTATAAAATACAGTGGAAAATTTAAATTTATATAATTTTTATGTTGTTCAAAAGGAAAATTAACAAAAATGAACAACTTAATAAATGCACATCGCACAACGCCAAAACTTAGAATAAAAA